GTAAAAACTACAGTGGGCTGGGTACTGGACATGCATGGCGTAGTCAGAATCCCTTATTATGTGTTCCTTGTTTAAGATGGGAAAATGTGTTGAAGAATTTGGAAGCCTTAGGTGGATCTTCAGATTGGAAGGAACAAGCATGAAACAGAGATGGCTGAGGGAAAGTGTTTGTTGTGATGGTCCTTACGGTTATTTACCCCCCTCCCTCCCCCCAAAAAAGGAAGAATGGATTTGAGCAAAATAGTTTTTAAAATTACAAAAAAAAAATACTGTGAAAATGGTTTACGGAGATAAAGCAGTGCACGGGACTTCTTCATTACAATTTGAAACATTTTGAATAGAAGTGTATGCAATATTGCATGAAATAATTAATTCAATGTATGTGAGATATTTAAAAGCTCTATGTTTCTTATAACTTCAATGTAATAACTCTAGAAATACAACTATTACTGATTTATTGTTGTTAAAATTAGAATATATTACATTCAATAATAACTTAACAGAATAATTGTTTCAAGGGTTTTATCCAAACAAATTACACACTGATCAAATTTCTGTTGAAAGTTACTTAGGTTCAGTCAGCTTAAGGCTTAACTAGTTTATTAAATGAAGATATATTTAAGTAATAAAATAAAAGCTACGCAGTTTGAAAGTTTTAGAAATATTACAATAGTTATGGATTAACAGCTGCATTTACAATTTTATACCTCGCACACAAATCTCTATGCACATTACTAGCATCATAATCGACAACAAATGTAGCTTCTCTGTGGACATTTTTATAAAACTATTAATATAATGAGGATTTAACTCTCAGATATTAAAAATGTATGTTTATATTTAATTTTTGTACCATGCTATTTTTTAGGTAAAAACAAAATTGTGTTCTACTATTTGTCAGGATGGTAAAATAGTAGGTTTCCCGTCTGGAAAGCTTATTAATTTTAAGTTGTGAAAAAGAGGTGCCAATTAATGTTGAAATAAATAATACATTTAGGAATTCTTCTGAATTATTAAAAAACTTACTTCATACTAAGTGAATAGGGGAATGTTTTTTTATTTTTCTTATTTAAATTGTACAGCACTAATATTATATCATTTTCATAGTAGCGTAAGACTTTGATTGATCCTAACTATAGACTACTCAAAGTTAAGCCAATAAAATTTAGAAGGTTTATTATTATTGAATATAATCAATAATATAGATTCTAGGTCAAATAAGAAGCCACGTGTATTAAAAAAAAAATAGTAAGCTTTCACAGGATTGTTTTGAAAACACACCTCCTACTTTTTGCGTCTATAGTGATGAATACATACTCGGGATATTTGTAACTTGCCTCTGGAAAATTTTGAGTTTGCTACTTCACTGCATGCGATTTTAATTATTTGAGTAAGTAAAAAAGGGCAGTTGTAGGTCTGGGAGGCAGAGGGGAGCGAGGTCCCTGGCCCCTTCTTTGGTTCCGCCACTGATCCGAGCGCGGTCTAAAAGAAATAATTCAATTTTAAATTAAAATAATACGTAAGCATCTGGGTTGTCAAAGCCTTTAAAGTTTGATGTAGCTACTTACCTATAAATTAAAATGTGTTTTATGTTTTCTTCACTTCGGTCAGTGAAAATGCTGCAATTACATTCAAGGTGCATAAAAGTTTAACTCTGCAACTTCTCGGAAAAATATTAACTATAGGTGTACTCAAATAAACAAATTATCCAGTGCCAATACTGAATACTGTATTGTACGCATAAGAAAATATTTGATTTTTATTTTTGTCAAATTATAAATACCCATTTGATAATATTATCGGGCATCGACGAACACCATTGTGCAGTGCAGGGTTTCATCGACCGAGCGAGCGGTTCCTCGTACCTAATTATTTTTATAAATGTGAATAATAAACTGTACCGGTTAACATGCCACATGCGTAGTCTATTGATATATCTTAATTCATGCTGTAAAGCAATAATTTATATTTGAAAATGTACCTATACTTAACACTGTATATACCTACAGTACCTATCTATTTCATACTAATCACTAGAAGAGAACGTTTGTCGCCGAGTTATATAATTTGTGTATCAAGTCATCCAATGTCCAAATGTTTTGCGTTTTCATCGATAATTTTAATTACAATTACTTTTTTAATGTATTAAACCTACGTGTTTCCCACAACCTGCAGTAGCCCGGCTAGGGCCTAAAATAATGTTTTCCCTGACACGAAGTGTGTCCGCTGAATTACAAATAATGTGTGTACCAAATTAGTGAAATTTAATATTGTGTATATTAGTTTTTATTGTAGACATATTTTTAATGATGATAACAATCAATATTAATGAAATCACGATAACCAATACGTGACATTAATTTTAAATTGTTTTATGTTAATAAAATTGTTTAAACTTTTATTTATATTTATTTTGTGTTGATAATTTTTAGTGCATACTTAATTAGGTATAAACAGTACAAATATATAAGGTACCCAGTGTAAGTAGGTAAGTAATGTATAAAGAGCTATGACCTCCCACAGGTTTTTTTTTTTTTGCTATGAAGATCCATTAACTTCTATCAATCGAATTAAAAAGTGTCCCCTGAAATCTGATGTATTTTAGACTCTGCGTCAGTAGGAAACACTTTTTTATATTAATGGAAAACTATTTTTACTTTCGACAATTTTATGAAAATTCAAAATATTTTCCGTGGCTTACGATACTATCTTAGTTTTATAGACTTATAATATAGTACTGTATATATTGGCTTTTGTTTTTGTCTCTAATTAAAGACACATGCCCAAAGATTTCGATGGAATTATCCGGAGGACTCGAAGTTTGAATTTACTGATGAAATCAATCACATTTCCGGTCGGTATTCGTATTTCATAACGCAGTTAGACGAATTCAAAGCCAATGAAACGGCGCCAACATTACGATCGTATGAATTAATTTTTGAAAATATGGTGAAATTGACGTCTCCATGTGTTACAATATGACGGCGTTAAAAATGTATAGATGTTTCATATTCACAAATGCTATTGGGCATTGGGAAAAGAAATTTTACAAAATTGCAACTGTTCGTCATTGATCCTCGATGACTACGACCGTTTCAATTCGCTGCCATTATGATTTATAACCACAGATAACGACGTCTTGCAAAAACAACAGATTTCAAAAATATCATTAGAGTTCACTTTGAAAAAATTAAAGAGGAAATATTTTTAGTTCAAATTTGTTTAAAACAATTATTACCGATTTACTTTAAGTAAATTTCTTTTTATGGTTCATTTAAAATACATTTGTTAAAATTAGTATAAATAATACAAATATTAATTAATTTTTCCCGTAAATGAATAAGAGTATTATTGAACTAATTCAATAAAAAATAGTTTTATTCATTAAAATTTTCTTATTTTAATTATTGGATAACAAAATTAAATAAATACATAGGTAATAATTTTCTAGGGACCCCGAATTTTTACTGCTTAAGAGCCTACAATGGTTTAATCCGGCATTGCACTATGTTTATCTGAGTGTACCTATTTATCAAATTCAATAGATTTTTTCAATCGCCATAATGGTCGACAAATTTTTTTACCTAATTCTTTAGTTATAAGTTAACTAATAAGCTATAGGTATGCATTAGTGATCTGGTAATACCTGATGTTCTTTAAGTTTGATAATAATCGGATTAAAACCCAAAGTTCAAAATTGGTGTAAAGAATGTTATTTACGTTTTAATATAGTAAAGTATTGATACCTACTTACCTACGCTGCTTACGGTACCTAATCCGATAGGTTTGATATCATAAATGTCTTTTGTCTTAATCCTACTAATAAACATGTTACTAATATTATTAAGTATGTTTTCATAAATCCAGATTAGTGGCCATGATGTAGACGAAATAATTCAAATCATGAACCGAATGAATGATTGCAAAATATGATGGAAATATTGGAAACGGAATATCTCTTATCCATAGCTAACTTCAATCAGTTAAAAAAAGAAAAAAGAATAATAATATTAGGTACCTATGGAAATTTTTTTTAGATAAAAAAAAACGTTTTCGATTTTTCTTAAATTAACTATTAAGTTGGCTCACTGATAAATTAAATAGGATTCTACTCGATGATGAATAGAAAACAAAAAGATAATACGTTTAAGTTGTTGCATCATATTTACCAATAATTATGAATTGCCCAATTCGACATTCAAATTTATATATCAAAATAAAAATTCCTGTAGTCACGTACACTGATCATACGTTACATAGGTAAGGTATAAAATCATTCATCAATGCGTCTTTGAACATTATAAATAATTACCTATTCTTTATAAAAAAAACTCGTTTTATTGAAACATATAATCACAGTTTTATTAGGTCTTTCAAAATTTACAATCGTTTAGTTCTTGAAATCTAATTAGGTAGGTACATAATAAAGTTATTAACAAAATTATATAAGCTTACATATTTTTTTTAAATATATTTTAAAAATAATTGTCAACAATATAAAACAATAAACATATTATTATTTATTAGTTCCGAGAAAACAATGTAACAATTTGTTATTCTACTGTAAGTATTTTTTATTTTAGGTACAAACGGACAACATAATTGTTATCCAATAAATATAGTAATATAAATTTTAAAAGTTTACATTATATTCTATTCAGTCATTTGGTTGTTCTGAGAATGTTTAAATTAAACAAAATGTTCAATTTACTGTGTGTACTTTGATCCAAGGAAAAACAAAAATAACAATTGTTACACTTTGGCAGACGTAGTAGGTAGCTGGTAGGTACATCTATAATAAAATATACCATACATATATACAAAATAAACTTATGGAAATAATTAACTAAATTATAAAATATATAGATTTATCAATAACAAAAAATATACATTTGATAAATAACACTTGTACACAAATTACTATAATTTGTGGGTATAAAATTAAAACATTATTAACAATATAATATTTAACTATAAACAATAGTAATAATAATAATAATAATAATAATAATTGTTACAGTTAATTAATAAATTCTATAATATGTACTTGGTCAATAGCTTGTAGTAAAGAGTATTACTAATTAGAAAGTTTTATTGATGCAAATTTGACGGGGCTGAGAAATGTAACCATAAGGTAGGTATACATTTTTATCTCTTATAACTCTTACTTAATATTGGAGTATAAAAATAAATTTTACTACAAAATAATAATTTATTACCGTTACTATTATTAAGAATATCATTTCTGGGGTTGAATTCCTGTCTTGGGCAAGTGATTGTCTAGGAAGATATACATACTTCCCCCACACTAGACATCGTAGAAACCTAGGGGTGTTAATTTAAGACTGTGACTAAGTAACCAAACTAAGCTCAAAGTCTACTCTCGGTTAATAAGCCATAAAATAAAATAATAATCAATAATTTTTAATTAAAATTATAAATTGATGCCGACAGCGACTCAATCAAGTGCCTTGGTATGTAAAAAAATATATTTAATTGGGTACCTATCTATTACATTTTAGGTATTAGGTAACCTATCTATTTACAACTTAAATCTAAACAATGTAATTAAATAAAATAAATTGCACTTTTTTCAACAGACTTTGGTATTAACAACTAGAGAATTAAAATATACTTAAATGTATTTAACATATTTTATATAAACAAATATGTTTTTAATTACATAACAAAAAAAGCTCAGTTTTTAAAAATTATCACAGAAGAAAAAACAAAATTATTGTATATTGCAGTAAATGTATATCATGGTCTCGGATATAATATAAAATACTTAATTCCAGAGCACCTGTCTTCAAATATCACAGCGATTGATTACCCTGATATTCTAAGAGTAGATATTTTTATAAAACTTAAAATAAATCATTCATAAAATATAAAAATGTGTTCATACTTAAGCTCAAAATGTAACAATAGTCATGGAAAGGCAGTTATATCAAGTCTTATAGAAAATCACATAAGTAATTTACATTAGTGTTAACGCGAGTATTATATATAAGTAAATTTATACAATAAAGGATACCATTAATGCAGTCATTCATTAAATGTAAATAAAACTTATATATACTTATATATACATATATATGTATATATATATATATATAAAATAGAAACTTATTTCGAGTAAGTAGCATTCAGTTCTTTATAATTTTATATAAAATTCTGGTTTTTCGTATCACTAATAAATAAACTTTGGTGAATTATAATAACTGTAGAATCATGAATATCACTTGGTTGGATATGAATGTTTAATCTTGAATTTGTTAAGCTAATTTCTATAAATATAAAAATAATTAAAATACCTAAATATATTTGTTCTCGTTTTTAAAGCTAAAATATATATAATTATTTTTTTTTTTTATTAATATTTGAAATCAAAAGGCACTAATTTTATTTAATTTTACATTTGAGCAGTTGGGTGTATACGCTTTGTATGACGCATAAGTGATGATTTTTGTGTAAACTCAATACCACACTCGTCACACTTCAGTCGTTCTCCAGTATGAATGAGTTCATGTTTCTTAACAATAGCTTTGGCCCCATAAGTTTTACCACAAAAACGACATGCATACGATTTTAAATCCTGCAGTACAATATCTTCCTGGTGGTCACTGTGCATTGCTTCTGAGTGTATATCCAATGATTCTTTTGTAGTGAATACAGCCTCACAATGTTCGCACGCCAATTTGTCTTTATGTTCAGCTGCATGCAGCTGTAACGAATTCAGATCTTCGAATGCTTTGTTGCAAGCTGTACACTTAAACTGTGCTACCTCCGAGTGTAGTTTGGCATGTCGTTGTAATAACGTAAATCTGTTGAATTCCCGGCCACAAATAGAACATGCACAGTTGTATTCGTCCGAATGACTTTTCATATGTAGTGCAAGACTACAGTTACGGTAAAATTTGCGTCCGCATAGATTACATTCACATGTCTTTTCAATAGTGTGTATAGACACAGTATGTTGCCAGAGAGCACCACGATTGCTGAACTTATTTGGACAATATTCACATGAAAACGGCAAAGGATTTTCTGGTTTTTGAATGTCTAAATCAGCTTTTACAGTTTTCGGAAAGTCTTCATCGTCTGAATAAACAGCTTCAACACTTGTCATCATATTTTGAACATCTACTTCTGACATTTCTTTTTCTGTAGCTTTTAACTGAATCACAAAATAAAATACAAAATTTACAAGGCAATTACAATGCTAATATTACAATGGTATACACCTTTTGTTCACCTAAAAAAATATCTTACAATTTTTACAAATTTATTTATTTAAAGGTTTAACAAAGATATCATAAATATTCATAATATACAATTATTCATTAACTACAATAATTTAATATTTGAACGAGGGGTTGAAAAGGCACATCTTCACTTCTTAGTATTATACAATATTTTACCTGTTTTTCCACTGCAATTTTGTTTTCATAATTCATTATGTTACTCTTTGTAATAGTTAAACTTTTTTCGTTGTTATTTCTGAAAAAAAAAAAAAATTCATAGTTCTATTAACTATACTTAAGGTTATAAATTATAAATTAAATAATTATAAAAAATACTATGGTGTAACAAAAAAAAAAAAAAAAATAAAAATAATAATAATTTGCTTATAAAATAAAATTTACCAAAAAATAATGTATTCATATGTTATGGTAAGTAATGCCATTAATAAAAATCTTAATAAGGATAATATTTTTAGTTTTAATTTGAAATCCTTTTTTCAACTTGATACCATAATATAATTTGCCTGTATTTGCAGTTATTGATGGATGCATCAATTACAGTTTTTAGTATTGTTTGAAAATAGGCTTTTTTTTTTAATTTGCAAAAATAATCATTCTTATTTGGGTAAAATATTGTTCTACGTATTCATTTTATTTTAAAATGATAAATACCAATTGTTTTGTAATACCATTGATTCTATAGTTTATTTTATAATCAATGATAATACTAACAGAAATTAATATAATTATCTTGTTGTGTTTGAAGAAAAATAAAATGTGCATTCAAATAAAATAATTTAATACATTTAATTAATAATTGAATAATAGAAAATTTAAAATGTTAAATTAATAAAAATAGATAAAAATATTATTAAAGGAACACTAAAATGAACATAAATAATTTATTGATAGGAAAAATAATATGATAACTATTATTATAATGGCCCTATTATGTATAACTGTACCTTTGACTCTAATTAAAATAAAAATTGAACACATTCACCATTATCTTATTAATATTTAATTTTAACATTTTAGGCTTATAACCAAAAAGAACATACCCACTTAATTTAGTTTTTATGAAATATTGGTTAGTAAAAATAATAACATAAAATAACTTTAAAAATACTATAAAAAAATTCCAAAGTAAATTAAATACCTACAATGTGTAATGTATATGAACAATAAATTGTTTTACTCACGGTGATTTTGTATTAGGTATATTGGAAATTTCTACAGTACACTCATCTAATAAAGTAGCTGGTAGTTTAATTGGAAAATTGTTTATTGCACTTCTCCCGGTATGTCTAGAATTTCCATTTACTAACTTCGTTTTTCTGAAACAATAAATAAATTTCAATGAAAATTTAAGAATTAATAATCAAGAGTAATATCTTACTTGTAATTTGTATAAATAGGAATTATTGTAGTTTCTGATTCCAATGCTCGTTTTGCTGACTTAGACATTGATAGAATTGTTGCCAAAGTTTCGTTTTTTCTTTTAATATTAGAATTATTGGTTTGCGATTCATTAATTACCACGTTCAAAAATTGTGATGGCATTAAACCCAATTCCATATTATTATTATCCGTTTTGGCATAAGACGTCATAGTTCAAATATGAAAATATGAAGACTTAATAAACTTTTTTTTTACAACTATTTAAAAAAAACACGTTTAAAAAGTATAATTTAAATTTGAAAAATCAATACACAGTTACTTTTAATTGAAATTCATAAATACTAACTAGAAAGAAAAATAGAATGTAAAAATAATCTTTTGTACTTTAATCAAGAGAGCTCACATTTTTGTCCACATACACACAAAAAAAGAAATACTACATTCTAAGAAAAATAACCAAAAAAAAAAAATTGAACCACTTGATTGATAAAAAAAAAGATTATACTCATAATACGATACCGTTTATTAAATGTATTAAAAATAAATGTAACGGGATTTTATCAGCTGTTTTATTGAGAAATAGGATATAATTAGTTACGGAGCATATACATGTTACAGAGACAGAATGACTGATAATATGATTTTGATAAGAAAAAATGTGGAATCAAATCATAAATAAAAGATAAATTATTTTTATTTTTTACCTATTTGAAGATTACATTTTAATTATATTTCTATTTTATATAATTATATAAATATAATTTAATATTTTGTGATCATTGTAACTTTCTAAAGATCATTAATATTAAGCGTCGTTATTTTTACTGTTTAGTAATATGGATCGAAAAACACCCGAATTGCGACCGGCCATCAATGAATACTTTAAAGACCCGACTCCTTCAGCGAACTTGTTCGATAATATATCATCACATGCTACGACTGATGCCAAACGAGAAGAGCCAGCTGTTTGTCGTATATTCCAACAGATAGAAAAAAAAACCGATATATTTGATATTATAAACCCTCCTCCAGACAGTAACAGTCACAATAATAATCCGGGATTTGAAGTTCGAGAAGGTTAGTAGGAAGTATCTATATAGGTATTGACCACAAATATTGTTTGATTTCTGACTTTCGGGTCTGTGGAAAAAACATGAAAGTATCGAAAAACATATACCATTTTAGTTTGGGTACCTATTTAGATAATTACTGTATTGTCAGAATTTTGTTAATAGCATTCCTCGACCATTTTCTAAGTCCTAATATGGATTTTAGGTCTAGTAAAATAAATATTGAACAATTTTTCATAGAATTTTTTAAAATGGAAAAATCAAACTTGATTTTTGACATTTGATTTGATTACTTATCTGTGAGGTTATACACATAAATTATATGATATTTTGACATTTTTCTTAGACTCAAAAATCGGAAAAACTTTTGTTTGTAGGTATTATACAAATTGAAATCATTGAGTATTTTTATGAGTAACCTATTAAACAATTTGATTTTAATATTAACTGTAATGTTGATTGTTGAACGAAAATATGTTTAAAGAATAACAAAATAATAATTATTATTGACAGCACCTTTTTTAAACACTGGAAATGATAGTGTTGATCCAATGTCAATATTTATCCACGAGTATGAATTATCTTTTGTGCCGGCGGAAGATGAAAGGAGACGATTTGCTTGGATACCATCATCTAAAACGAAAATGACACTCGAAAAGGCTTCACAAATGAATCATGCATTACCCAGAGATATGTTGACCATGCCAGGAGTTGAAAATGTTAATTTTGTATGTGTTTATTGTTAAGAATAATTTATAATTATTATTACCTGTATGTACATAGTATGAAGTTATTAACTTTTTTTATAGGCAAATAAGACGTATGAAGGTCTTGTATCATACCTCGGTGAGGCTGAGGCAGCACCGTTTAAAACCAAAACAATTGAAGAAGTGACACAAGACGAGCGAGGTCTAAAAATGTTAATTGAAGACAGTAATTATTCAGAAGCATTAAATTTGACAACACGATTGTTGGCAATGTATGGCCAAGGCCCCGGGCAAACGGGTTATCCGAGTAAACATACAAAGCACTCTCTTCAGGTAATGTCTATTTCTGGTACAATTATTGTATTTGATACTAAAAATGGTGTTTTACATTTTGGATTTTTTTTTTGTTTAGTTATGGCTTACTAGATTTTCATTATTAGTGAAAATTTGTGCGTGTAAGATTGCAGTCAAGGAAGCTATGGCTTGGGATAATTTAGATCGACCTGATCTCTATATGCAATGGTATAAGGAACTGTATGGCAACAAATATGGTACACTCGTGCCGTTTAGCCTAAGACTTATATTGGCAGAATTACCTCAGTATGCGACTACATCAACTAATATTTATAAAAAATTATTTGAAGTTCTTTCTGGAGTTAGAAAAGTACTTATTTGAATTTTGTAATTTAATGTCTATCTGCATTTTTTAATATTAGCGATTTCCTTTTTTTTATTTAGATTATATTAAATTTAGAAAATAATCTCGCTGAAGATGGACGATGTGTAGATTTGACAACTCAAGACCGAAACACTTCAAAATTGTTATGGTACTCAAGAGAAGCTAGGGTTATACATTCAATTATTAATTGTGCTCTAAATCAAAAAGTAAAACTAATTCAAATTTAGATTTAAAAATAAAAAAAGTTTTAAAATTAAAATTATGTACTTTATTTTTAGGATTATAAACTTGCAATTCAATTATTAAAAGATCTCATTGAAAATCCTAGATTAAAATATACAATCGATCATTCCCGATCACTGTTGTCTGCGATGGGTCGTATTTGCTTACAAGTTGGGGACCTCAAAGGGCATAGTTACTTTCTTAAATCGTCTCGACTGAAACCTCAATTGCTGTTAGTATATATTATGTGTGTTATAAGTTGGTTGATTTAATTTTGTATTTAATAATATTTATAGAGGAACATTGGGTGAAAATAAAGCTGATTATCGTGAATTAATAGACGCAGCATTATTAGCTATTGCTCAAAATAATTACAAAGAAGCGTATAAACATTTTGAAAATGCATACATAATAGATTCAAATAAAGTTATGGTAAGCAGAGTAAAAACTATATTTATATTTTCTAATTTTATTATTAATTAATATTCTTTTTGTTTATTTTTTACAGGCTCTAAATAACATGGCTACGTGTTTATTTTACGAAGGTCAATTGAATAATGCAATTTCATTATTGGAAGATGCTATACAGAGATTCCCAGAGTTGGCATTAAATGAGAGTCTCTTATCCAATATCCATTGTTTTTATCAATTTCAAAATTCTGCGTCTAATAAACAAAGATTACTTAAGTATCATATAATTTCGAAATATAAAAATAGTGTTACGGATATAACTAATTAAGACAATTAAACTATTACATTAAAGTTATTAATAATTAATTAATATATATTTTATTGTATTCTGTTAAATTATATTATAATTTATTTTTAAATTTTGGGCTAAGCAATGAAGTAAGCTAAGTATTGGTTTTATTATGTTTGCTTTTTTTCTATCTATATTCTGTAAGCAACTTGTTTACCATTTGATCCAATCATTAACTTCAGAGGTGGTTTCTGGAACTAAAATTTGTCTTGTTTTTGTGCATATTAAGGAGGTCATTTTTGATTTGTTAAAAATTTTCAAGTTTCTTAAACTTGGTAAAAAATGGGGAAATGTATACTATAACTGTTATTTTTGATTTTGTTTTTTTGTTACAATTCAGAAGAAAATAATTGTACAAATCTGAAATTTTTACTAGTTACCGATATTAACAGATTTTATACGTGATATAATTTTTAAAATAATTTTTGATTTTTTTTAGATACTTATAGTCATTTGAAATTGTCTAGTTTTTTGGTTTTATTTGGATAAAATTGTTATGAGTGTTATGACACACGAAAAATACTCGAAAATGAATGCGGGGTACAGCTAATTACCCATTATAATAATGGTGAATCAAAAAATGTGATTACAACCTGTTGCATAATAATGAGTAATAATTAATATTATAATGGCCAATATTTATTGTACATTTTTTTTCTCTGAACTTTGAAAAATTATAAAAAAAAATCACAAATTTAATGAAAATAAAAAGTTGAAACATCAACATTTTTCAGTAGAGTAAACTATAAAACTCAATAAAAAATCTCTAAATCTCTCTAAATATATTGATTCAGATATTAGAATCTTCTAGTTGTTGTAAAGCACTAAAAATTCTAGGGTATGTCAAATGTGTTCGTACTCAGTTTGAACTGCTTACCTCTGTTCAATTATCATACTGTGCCTTGGTTAGCTCTGTGCTTGAAAACAATTCTGTATTGTGGAATCCGTATATATTAGTCATAGTTATCTCTTAGTACGCGCACAGTGTAAGTTTTTGTGTTTTGCTGGTCAGGTATTAAAAATTGAGAACCAGCCACATTATTTTCTAGTTCATTCTACTCTACACTTATCTTTGTTGGTTGATAGAAGATTACAAGCTAATTTAACTTTTCTTTCTAATCTGTCCTGGTTAAATTGACTCCCTAAATCTTCTCTCTTCCATTAATTTCAAATTCCCTAATTTGATCATAAAATTGATCTGAACTTTTTCACTCTAATGTTTAAGTCTCACTCTTTTAATTAATTTACTGTATTATTATTTATATTTTTTGTTATTTTTGTTGTTCATTGTGTATTTTGCTGTTTTGTGTTTTTTTATTGTATTCTTTATGCAATATTTCAACTATGTATTTAAATTTTAAATGTTTGTTGTAATGTAACCATTGGGCTACCAACCTGTACTTTCAATAAAATAAAAAAATAAAATAATAAATATATGTAAATTATACATGTTAATACATGATTATGTGTGATAAGAGGAAATACAATTCAATAGAAAATAGAAATTAATATTTAAACTTGATTTTCTCAATCAAACTGTCTGACCTGATAATAAATCATGCCCATGACAGCAATCTTCATTGCTGGACTTGTGGTGTTTACTTTTGGGGATGAGTGAGATGTGCCGTGCACAAGCTGATTTTGTGTCACTCCACAGAGCATTATATAAAATGTTAGTTGTCAGAATGTGAATATCGTGAGAAAAATTTGTATGACAAATTGTTGATAAGTGATGTATTTGAATAGATGAGTGACCATATGACAAAATTCCTTCAGAAAATATACCCCTAAATAGTTTTAATTTGAAAGACTCGTTATTATCAAGTCTCTCCAATTTTAATATAAATATTAAAAACTTGAAGTAAGGATAAATTGGTTTTTAAGAATTTAAATTCTAAAAAAATTGTTTTAATTATGATATATAATGTATATTTATTATTGTAAAACCACTTTACTAAGTACATTTGATATTATTAAATCATTCAAAAGTTTTAATTTAAAAACTTATATCACTAATGTTATTCATTACTCATTAATTGTCACATTATTTGATATGTATTCATATTGTTTAAATATAATGAAAATATATTCACAATTTATTCTTTTGAAGAATGATTCACTTTATATGGATAATTAATTAATTACCTATTTCTTTTGTATTTATATTTGTTTTATTATTCTTATTTAGGACAATCAAAGCATATTACCAAACTCATCAATAATTACAATTAAAACACATTACTCAAAAATAATCCTAAGAATGATGAAACTGACCAACAAGGACTTACCATTCCTTATTTGATTAATTATAATTCTTATTAATGTCACTGTGATTTTATTTAATTTAAATTATTTCATTGTTATTTTTAGTATCTAATTTTTAACAACTGTAATTTTTGTCTGTTTGTTTTTAGTTGTTTAACATTGAATTGGATTATACCTGTCTAGTGTCTGTATTCCAATAAATAAATACCTTTAAATAATAGTATATTAACATTACATAGCACTAAAAAAAAAAAAGTTGGGTAATCTATTTAAGTAGGTACTTCGAATACAAATAATAAATGAATAATTTTCTAATTTCGATTGACCAATTATTTGTTTTTAGCCCAAGTAATGTTAATAATACAATTTATTAATTAATATTATAATAATTGTATACTGTATAGTTATAGCTATATGATAATTATTACAAATAACTATAGTAACTGGTAAAAATATCTGGATCTATAATATTCAAGTAAATAATAAATTATTTTTTTTATAAAAAGCATTAAATAGCACCAATTAGTTTGATTTATTTAATAATAACAATGCAATATTATGTTGGAGGGTTGGGTTCTTTATCATTAGACGTGTATGTGGATGATGGATCAAATAACTGTTTGTCGACTTGCACGTGATATAAGTTTATGCCACCACATTTAATAATACCTATAAATTAAATTGCGCATTTTATCACGAACTTCACTGCGAAAATAGTACCATCGTATAGAATAGGTTCCAACAGAGGACCGACATAGCAATTAAATACGCCGTCTGTTGTAAAGCCATGGCCAGGGCAGTCCCACCGCACAGTCTCAACTGAGGTGACCTTGTTATTCGCAGGATCTCCTCCGGGGGACCTGCTTGCTCTTGAGAGAATGAGAATTCATTCAAAAATGGAAGACCAGGACAGGTCAGAGTCTTCGGTAGAGATCCGAAAATCTGAGCGTGGCAATGTGTTCAACGCTTAGGCCGCTAGGTGGAGATGAGATGTCAAAGTGGCCTGGATTTTCAGGATCCTCCCTGACCTCAAAAGATGTATCGAGCATCCACGTAAATATCTTACCTTTTACATGACGCAGGCCCATAGGCGCAACTAGGGGGGGGGGGGGTTCTAGGGGTCTTTAGTACTACTAGAGAAACCAATAAGCTTTTTCATTGTATCGACTATTTTATCCATACCGGTGCTTCGAGACCACTGGCATCGTTTGAGTCACCAGTAAGGAAAGTAAGGAAATAATTCTCGAAAAGCTGGATTTAGTACGTCTTTCTGATAAACATATTAAAAATCCTGAAGTCCAAACCTTATGATTATCTCTTCATTCTTCAAAATGAGTGTTTTTGACCTTCCCGCCGTTTTCACTTATAACTCGTTAACCGTTAAGCTAAAATATACTGAACTAAAAATTAAAGGCCGACAGATTTATTATAGGAATACACTATCACATTAAGTTTACCTGTGTTTTGAATTTTTTTAAAAATTATTTTCAGCCAAAACCTTGTCAAACACTAAAAATTGCAAAAATATTTAACACTAATCAATAAGCATCATCACGTCCTTATTTTTACACGTTAATTATACCTACTTGTAATTTGAATAACAAATTTAAATAATTTATAAGAACAATTAGAAATTCTGATATTCAATAAAAAGTAAAATAACTGAAATTGAAACAATTAAATAAACTCAAATATACTCTTGTATTTCCTTTCAAAAAAAGTTCTACACTTAAAAATCGGAACAAAATTTCTGATAGAAAAGTTATTCACAGATAAAAATAATAAACATCACTGTAAAATCAATACATTCCTGTCCCTTCCCACGGTATCTAAAATAAAAACAGTATTTGTTATTTGTATGTTTTTTTTAGTCCACTAAATTCAATTACTATGATGAAACCCTTCCCCATATTAAATTTCTCTCTACGCATACGAATATTGGTTTAGTAATTTTATCGCAAAATCGCATACGTTAGCCCAAATCCCGTGTGACTTTTTTCCTTCCCTCGGGAGGGAAAATAATCTCGTTTAATCGAATACAAACTGCAGGATTTTTTTCGTTCCGGCTTTTGAATAATTCTCGACGCCGGATTAGGGCACAACAGTAGCGGATTCTCAACCCGACATTCCCGTTGAAAACGCTCCCGTTTAGTGTCGATTCGCCCGCCGCTGTACTAGGGGCTCTTGCAGAAAATACACACTCGTATACTGCAGGCACGTAGCCAGGGGAAAATCCGTAGGGTCTGATCTCTCGCCCAAGAAATTTAAACTTCTCACCGAGCAATCGGATAATTGGCAGGCGTGACTAATGGTAGTCGGCGATACATTTTATGTTTGGATCTCCCACCCCCGCCGAAGAAAAAAAAAAATTATAGCTACGCGTGTAGGCACGTGTATAGACATTTCGCGGATCCGTTTTATCCGAATCTCTCCGTTCGACGCCACCTGTCAGACGCGAGGACGACAACACGCCCGCGGAAACGCGCGTAGGTGCCTATCGCAATATATGCGTGCACGTAAACGGGGCAAAGGGCCCGCTTATCATTTTACACGTAGGTGGCTAGATAGGTAGGTGGGTAGGTATTGTTGTTGTAGTCATCGTGTCCCGGGGCGGAAGACGGCTCGCGATACACATCGCGTAACACCCCTATTTCGCAGCGTTAATAACAATGTGTACGCGCGCGTATTATGTCGGATAAGCGCGCGGCGAAGGGTGCGACCGCGAGACGCCGGCGCCGCCGTTGCGCTTAAAATTTCGACACCAGAATGCGGTACGCCGCGCAGTACGGGGAGACGCGCTGCACACATCGCGGATCTCGGTCGCCCGCTTTTCATCGATCCGCGCCGCCGCACTTTCCCCCGCCCCCGCCCTCGCCCCACAGACCGTTCCCTCCGCACCCGTCTCTCGCTCACCGCCGATCCTCTTATAATAATCGCTTCCGGTCCGCGGCCACGACACACACGACGCGCGCACTACGGTCCGGCGCTTTTTCCCCGTTTTTCGGTCGTTGATTTTGTTTTTCGGTTTCCTTTCTTTTTTTTCCCTTCCGAATTTCCTCCGTTACCGACCATACGATTCCTTTGCACGCCCTTTGCACGTTCCCTTCCGCCTGCTCGCCACACCTGCCGGCCCGGAAAAATATGCGCACGACTAATACGGCGGCGGTAACGACGACGACGACAGCGGCGACGGTGACATCGACATCAAACGAAACGGCAGTAGACACGTCATAATAACCGCAACAACGGCGACGTGATGACCGGCGAATCGTTCAACTGACCGCGGCAATCCGGCAGAATCGGTACGTGTCAAATCATATTTACATTGGTTATATTAAGCAGCTCGCTATTGCTAATAGAGTACCTAAGTTCAATAATATTACATCTCGTTGTCTGTTTGTCCGTGTATCGTGTGCACACCGCAGTGTCTCGCTGAAACGACACTAAGCAGCGCACCACCGTATCGCAGCCTGTACCGGACGTCGTCGTCGCGGCCGTCGCCCCTGAATTCGCAATCCCTTTCGGCTCGCACAGTATTGCAGTCACGGCGTGCGTATAGGCTACCGCGTGGTGTAGGTGTACGCGTGGTCGATGGCTAATTTCGGCCGGTATTACGTGCCACCTTTCGGCGCCGCCTTGAACGTGGCGTGGGCTGCCGTCAAAGCTTACGTGCCAGAGAACAGCCCGTGCATGGAGGCCGTCATGAAACGCCGAGCCGAACAGACAGCGGCTGCGGGTGGCGCACCGTCGTCTTCAGCTGGGGGCGCGGACGCCGAGAAAACGCGTTTGCAGTCGGCGGCCGGCAAACCGGACACGAACCCGTTTCGGACCACGTGCAACGCGGAACTGTCGTCGTACGGAGGTGTGGGGACCGGTGACGCGAGCGGGGACGGAGGCGGCGGCATCGCCAAGAAGGCGCCGCAAACTTTCAGCATGGATGACGGCAGCTTTGACGACGACTCGTCCGGCGGCGAGTTCGGACGCGGACGGCACAAGATCGACGAATGGCAAGCCGCGTGGAACGTCACCAACGCCATACAGGTATATACTCGCATCTTAATTAGGAGGTAGAGGCGGGAAATTTGCCCCGGATACATAACAATGGTTGCGATCGTGTATCTGCAATACGTCTTTGCGATCTACGTCCCGTACCGACGACGACGGTTCGTTCGTCTTCGGGCGCAATTTGACATTGAGAGCTCTGATCTTAAAACATTTATATATAACTCGGTCGACATCGGTTATGTACTTCGCGGTTCAACCCCTTTATACTGCGGGCATATAAAAAAGGGGATACTCTGCAGGTTGCATTTCTGTACTGTTTTAAATTGTACGTGTACAGTGATCGCCGGCGTACCCGTGAATTTTCGCGTAAAATTCATCAAACTTGATGTATACAATTATACATACTAAAACATACGTTATTTTAGGTTAATCAGTGAGCTACCTACATCGCGAACGAATTTTTTACGGTTGATATGTTATACTTAACGATCAAGTGAGTTCCAAAAACGATCATTCAATATTTGTATTATGCACTCAAACGTTTTGTAACGCTAATGCACCGTTTCGAAAAAATAATAATAATAATAATAAAAACAATTGATCACGACTTTTGTTTGCACTTACGTATAATATTGTTTTTGCACAAATGCACTTTATCACGAATAACAGTTGAAACCGCACTTATTTAATACATTTTATAATAACGATTTTGTTGCACAATAATATATTATAATATTTTATTGCGTTTTCAGATTAACACGGAATATTGTATTTTAGGAGATTGGATGTTTTTATATAGGTGTACGAACCGTTTTAGAAAAGTCGTGGCTATAGGCAATCCGAAAGCAGATTAAAACATTTCCCGCTCGTCAGTGCAGTAGATAATTTTGACTATCGCCCGCATCATAATTGTGTAGGTTCACAAATGACCCGTCGCATTTTTTTTTTTTTTTAGCCATTTCCTACTCGAAATACGTCATTTGGACGGGGTTGCTTAGGCCGCTTAAAGTGCGGTACATTTTTACAACTCGTTACACGTAATTTATGAATTGATCTAGTCGCCTAGTTAATGGTCGGGAAGCAGGGGGGGGGGGTAAAGGAGGCTGAGAGTTAAAACCCAAAAAGCGCGTCCTTGAAACTCACACCGTGCACGTGCAAAATTTCATCCCACTGACTTCAATTTCAATTCAGAGGTGTTGCGAATGGTGTATACCTGAAGCTGAAAATACACTCTCCCCTCGCGCAACAACACGGATGGAATTTTATATTGAAATTCATCCAATATCACTGCTTCATCCGCCTGTACAATTCTATATAACAAATCGAAATGTAACAATAATTCTAATAATAATTCCCGAATTTTTACCGATGCCCGAAATTCGTTATACTTACCGATATAAAACCGATATTTAAGATCGAAAATCAAAGTTTGATACTGAAACTAACCGATATGTCGATTGAAAACTCGTTTTTAACGTCTTTTTCATGTTACAGAGACATTTTTTTTTTCCTTAATCCAAGCCAAGTGTCACTAATGGGTGGCTTCTTATTCGTACCCGCATGTCAAATATTATCCTTATCACATAAGCTTATTATACTTATTTGTATAGCTTGTCCGTGTTCTGAATAAAAATTAAAAAGGAAAACATTTTTTTTTCCGAAAATATCTGGTCAAAAAAACGTTTAAAAACCCGATGTTCCGATTTCCACAATATCGGCTTATGCAAATACTCAACAGTGATGTTTCAATGGATTTTTTATTTTTTGAGATTACATTATAACACTTGGTGACATATTTTTTATCGTTATTATCACGGTATATACTGTTTATAGAGAAATATATATCAATCGTACAAACTATTTAATTTTAATTATCGAAAAACACTCAACATTTAAAAAATTAAAAAAGATGGACATACTTTGCATGACGGGTAGGCAACTATTGTAGATGAGAAATAGGGAAGGTAGGATGTAGAAAGTAATTTAATTTATATCTGTGCGTAACGATAAGCCATTGCTATTGAAAAACGATTCGGAGCAAAGTTCGGTTATATACATGTTTTGAAAGGTTACGACCTAATATTTCGTAATATTTACGAGTTTCGTTAAAATTTTATACTAAAATTCATTTATAAAAAAAAAAAATACTGCATTACACTTATTTTTTTTTTTTCGTATCACTAAGTACGACTTATAATAAACCTCCTGTTTTGTTTTCAAGCATTTCTGTTTAATCTAACAACTTTATCCGCAGAGTACTTGCCGAATAAAAATTACGTAAAATACTAAAAAAATTAAAACATCTAAAAATAACTCGAAAATGACGCAAATGTTTTGAAAATTTTACCAAGTCTAGAAAAAAAAAATACAAGTCATTCGTTGAAATTCCAAATCATTACTAATATTTTTAATTAAATTACGTTAAAAGAACGAAATTATAAATAATAAAAGTAGTTTTTTCGTAAATGTTCCCATTTTTTTCCGGTTTTGTTAAATTATCAATAAAACAATTGTAGAAAAAAATCAAAAAAAACGACTTTCATATTCACCAACCTGGATTAAAAATGCAACAAGAAAAGTCTCTTGTTGTGTTCCTATTAGAGCGATATTATTTCTGGTGGAAAACACAAACCGTACTAATTTAAAATAAAGGAATCATAACGACGTAGATATACCAAAATTAATATTTTGTACAATTTCCAAAAACTCTATTGTCGCAGAATATTGGAAATAAAAAAAAGCAATCCGACCGTTTCTATATAAAACGAACATTTTGTTTTAATATTGTATATTAAATACATAATAAAAAAAACGAACAAGAGCACATACTTATATTATGTATGCATGTTGTATCGTGCTGTGTAACATTTTTTTTCGGACTTCATAACGTGCTGTGTAGCAATCTCGGTCTATTAGTAGCATCGTGAAGTTCCCAAAATGTTTTTTTTCGTGCACAACCATCGTATACGAACATAGAAACCGGTGATTTGTCGGCTATTAAAACGTGATATGTGTGCGTTCTGGTGCGTTCTGCGATATCTGGCTTCCACTGTTCACAGTTATTTGACGCAAAAGAACGTGCCACGTGCGTTCCAAATAACATTTGAAAAAATGTTTAGTTCATTTTTCGGCTTTAGTTGTCACTGTAAAATTTACAACGCGCTGCATAGCACGTCATATTCCCGCCCGCCTTTCAGTTATATCATACGCTTGTGTAGTGCCGAGCGAATTCTCGAACCCATCGATTTGGTTCCGTCGCGTTGAAACTTTGGACTTTTTTCAATTAATATTCAAGAGAATTAAAATGTCCGTTGGTTCTTACATACGCATATGATATTTTTGTGCGTAATTATCCTGGTAGAAGACATAAACGGTAAAAAGTTGAAATAAATGACGCCGTAAATGTTACCTCCCTACTTTTTATTTGTCTCATTTTTTTGGTTGGCCCCATTTATTATGAAAACCGATTGGAAAATCAAAAAACGATATACCCGAATGTACCACTTGCGGATAAAATTTCCTTTCGGGAAAGGTTTAGGCACTTGAAAATCGGAGCAAAATTTCCGGTAGAAAAGTTGTTCACAGTTGGAAAAAAAAAATAAACATTGTAATACTCAATACGTTCCTTGCAGCGCTCCGAATCTAAAAAAGTAGGTGAAAACCGTGAGAAAATTGTGAATTTGAATTGCTTCGATGACCGAAAATTGAAATGAATACAATTTTATGTTCTTATTTCGATTTTACAGCGGTAAAAGTGATACGGACGGACAACGATGACTGTATCACGACAATACGACAATTTTTCGTTTTTTTTTTTTTTTTTTTCGGTATCCAATTGAATTTATTTTAGATTCTGAGTGGAGCGTAGAATGTATTGGTTTCATATATATGTTTATTATTTTTTTTTTTATGTAAACACTTTTTCTACCAGAAAGAAAGCTTACTACGATCTATACAATGTAGAGGTATACTCTTTTTCTGAAAGGAAATTTTCTTGGGGCGGTACTTTAGGGAAGTAATTTTTCGATTTTCTCATCAAATGTGAAAAACCGAAAACGAAGGAAAAACGGGAAAATGTACGAAATATATTGGTAAAATTACGAGTATTTTTTTTTCTGCGAACAACTTTTCTATATACCTTTAATTTGGCTCCGATTTACAATGATAGCACTTTTTCTGAAAGGAAATCTGACCGGGGGAGGTATTTTAGGCAGGTAATTTTTCGATTTTTTCGATCTTCCCGGGGGAAAACGTAGGAAAAACGGAAAAATCGATACAGTATTCAACAAATATTGTTAAAGAAAATATTTAATGTACATTTATCTATTTCACCGTCATAATATGAACATGTTAATCGTATTGTGTACTGTTGTCAAAGCGTCACTATCAACCGAACTCCGCTCAGAATCGTTTTTGTTTTTCTCTCGTATAAACACCGGTTTATCGTTGCTCATACAGACATCATACATAATTAAATCCGATTATTCTGTACGTCCTACCTTGTCAGCTTTTCACCGACAACCGCAGTGGCGGCGGCACCCGTGCATCGTGCGAAATACGTGTCCGTCTTTCCGTCTTATTTGTGTTCCCCGGTACCGGCGTTTAACCGTTATATTTCTATTTCTATTGGACGCGCGTCGCGACCACGCGCAATATCGGAACGGTTCGGGTTTTTTTTCGCCCCGGGGTTCGTGCCTAACCCACCCGCGGCCGTGCCGCTAAATGTGTCGCGCGCTACGGCGACGAGGTATCGGACTCGGGGGTAACGGATTCGCGAACAACAACTTTTCGGCGCACTTGCGATATTATGTGCGTACAAAAACTTTGCGCGGGCCCTTATTGCGGCGATAACGGCGCGGTAATAGGACGCGGGGGCGGTGGCGTGGCGGTGACGAAGAGCAGTGTCCCGCGGCCGTAACGTTATCCGGGCTCGCCGAACCGTTTTGCCGCCGTCGCAAACTTTGCGCGTTTCGGGCGATAAAATAGTTTCGTCGCGCGCGTAGGAAGTAACGGGTCGGACGCGGCCGGATACGAAAACACGCGTTACACGGCTGCGATAACATTATTACGAATTTACGATTGTCGTTTTCGGATTTCGAACTGCAGTAGCGCAGTTGTACCGTGACAACGTGCGTTGATATCGTGACGGCGCGCGGGCAGCGTTTTGTTTTTCCTCCGTCTGTAAAACGCCTTTTTGTTAATTTTTGCCCAGGTCGGGTACGCCTGCAGGGCACTTCCTGACGTTTTATAATAATTTGGACCCTGAAATTTATTTCCCAGAACACAGGGCCCGTATTTTCACTGATGTTACTAGAATAAAATGTAATATATTCGTATATAATATATGTAGGTATAAGGTGGATAACAATGTTCGACAGAAATGCTTGAGCACTACACAAAAAGTTCATTTGTAGTTGTGCTTGGTGGTAAAAAAAAAAAAAGAAGAAGACAGTTGAGCGTAATATGCGTTTTAAAATCAAATTTTGACGAAAATCGTAAAAATTAATGTACATGTTTTTAACCGAACTTTGTTCAGAATCGCTTACCGTTAGCAACGGTTTGTCGTTGCGGACAGATATAAATTAAATAACCTTATGCATTCTAAATTCCCACTCAGTGCGAATCACGTGATTCACAAAAAAAAAAAATAAAATGGGTGGGTGGATCTCGGGTGCTTGGGTTTTCAGAAATTATTATGTTTTTACAAATTAAGTGATTAAAAGAATTTTAAACTGCGGAAATTCAATCAATTTCATTAAAGACCTCCAAGGAAACTGTTGGATATTGCTAAAAATTGTAGATAACAGACAAGGTGTGATAGGGTGGGGGTATTTTTGGTAGGTAAGTGAATGTGTGGAAAATTAAATCGGTGATTTGAGTTTAACCTCTGCCGCCGCCAATAGTATCAGTTCTTTGTTCGTTTCTGAGCGCATTGTATTGGTTTTATCGTGTGCGCTTTTTTGTGATCAGAAAAAAAAAATGTTATCAAAATCAACGCTAGGGGCCAATAAATCCTAAATACTGCTGGAGGGAGGAGTGTTTTAATTTCGTAAATTAGATACAACTTGTGAATACCTCCGGACATCCTCCGCGATAGTCGTAAAATCACCATTATTCAATTATAATAATATGATTGTAGAATTAATTGTTTATCAGTTGAAGTGGTGGGAAATTCTATAACTACACATTTTGTAAGAACCCGAAGCTACACTATAATACGGCTTAAACGCGGTTGAGGGGGAGGGGAGGGTGACTACCCCCGATTACGCGTCCGGGTGTCTGTATATAAATCGGGGATCGAAGATATCTCGAAGAATCCGCGGACAAAATTAAAAACTGAGTATGCTACTTGTAAAATGTATTTATATTCAACACCAAATATAAATGTTGAAACACACCAAGGTTGAAAAAAATATTATAATATTGTTTATTTTTTTGTTGTCGTTTTTCGTACGCGCTTGTTCACGCGGTACGCACACTACAGGGAATGTTCGTGGTGTCGTTACCGTTCGCCGTGTTGCGAGGAGGATACTGGGCGATCGTGGCCATGGTGGGGATCGCGTACATATGCTGCTACACGGGCAAGATACTGGTCGAGTGTCTGTATGAGCTGGACCGGGCGACGGGCCAGAGGGTCCGGGTCAGGGACTCGTACGTGTCCATAGCCCGCGATTGTTTCGGGCCCGTGTGGGGCGCCCGGGCCGTCAACGTGGCCCAGATGATCGAGCTGCTCATGACGTGCATATTGTACGTGGTGGCGTGCGGCGATCTGATGGAGGGCACGTTCCCGGACGGCGTGATCGACACGCGCAGCTGGATGATGATCACGGGCGTGCTGCTCATACCGCTCGGGTTCCTCAAGCACCTGCACCACGTGTCCTTGCTCAGTTTCTGGTGCACCATGTCGCACATACTCATCAACATCATCATACTGGGTTACTGCGTGCTGGAGCTGCCCGACTGGGGTTGGAGCAAAGTGAAGTGGACCATCGACGTGGAGAACTTTCCCATATCCCTGGGCATGATCGTGTTCAGTTACACGTCCCATATATTCTTGCCCACGCTCGAAGGCAATCTCATCGACCGGTCAAAGTTCGACTGGATGCTGGAGTGGAGTCACATCTCGGCCGGCGTGTTCAAGTCGCTGTTCGGCTACGTGTGCTTCCTGACGTTCCAGAACGACACGCAGCAGGTGATCACCAACAACCTGCAGTCGCCCGCGTTCAAGGGCCTGGTCAATGTGTTCCTGGTTGTCAAGGTGCTGTTGTCGTACCCGTTGCCGTATTACGCGGCGTGCGACATACTCGAGAAGTCGTTCTTCATCGGGCCGCCGTCCACCTCGTTCCCGGGCATCTGGCATCTGGACGGCGAACTCAAGGTCTGGGGCCTGGCGTTCCGTGTGGCCATCATAGTGTGCACGGTGTTCATGGCCATATCCATACCGCACTTTGCCATCTTGATGGGTTTCATCGGCAGCTTCACCGGCACCATGTTGTCATTCATCTGGCCGTGTTACTTCCATCTGAAACTGAAGAGCGAATCGCTCGAGTGGCGCACCATAATGTTCGACTGTTTCGTCATATTCCTCGGCTGTCTGTTCGGCGTCATCGGCGTCTACGATTCGGGTACCGCCATAATAAAAGCGTTCCAGATCGGCTTGCCGTTCTGAGCGGCCCCGTTTCCCCCCCGTCGTGTTATTATTATTATTATTATTATTATTATTATTGTTATTAGATGATATTATTATCTAACCTTATCGGCTAACCTAAACGTATAATAACAGGAAGGTATTTACCGCGTTTCCGATAAAACGTAGATAAAAACACGTACCCGCCCACCTTATAAAATACGCGCGTTACTTACCGTGATCGTGTGCGAAATAGATTTAGCCGCCGTTATGAAAAATTACCTACTCTAAAAATCCGTGTCGTTCGATTCCGGTGTTTTTCGCACTCGTATTATTATTATTATTATTCGCTAAACACTTACACGCGAAGTAGTACCTATGCGTATTTTTCTTCTTCTTGTTCTTCGGTAGTTGCCGGCGTTCAAGACGCCGTCTTCCCACAGGCGTAGAGACAGAAAACGCGTACGGCTCGAGTGCCGTAGTTTTTTTGTTTTTTTTTTTTAGACCTTATATTAAAATGTCTCCGAATGTTGTGTAGACAGGGCTCGAGATTAATCGGGCAGGGTCAAGCCCTTTTACGTCTACGCATTCTCCCGTAATGAAGCTCGCCAATCTGCATCCGTTTCGACCACGTTCGACGTCTACTACTTACTTGTATTAGGTGTTTGACAAAGCTCCTTGATTTCTACATTAATTCCGATCTTCCGCACGGCCATTACTCAACGGCCACAATTCGACTCCGGCATTTCGCTATCAAACGCCCGCTAAATGGCCATTCCGTTGTACCTCACGATGCCCCAGCGGTCCGAATAAGAGCACTGCGGTTGCACCTCGACGTCCTCGGACGGCGTTTATTCTCGACTTCCGTCATCCCGTTCAATCCAAAATGGCATTATCGTTACAGCCATTAAAAGGTATACGTCATATGATATGAATGAAATAAATGATCGACTATTTTTAAACGGATTAATACGTACTCGTTAATAATATCGCAGATAAGACTATAAATTAAATTTTATTCGGGTTTATACTTTTTTATTTTTTTCCAAACGACGACCGTTCGTCGTCGTTGACTGCCATCAGTCGAGCGAGTCGAGTTTATGTAATTATAATTATTATAATTATTTATAAAGTATTACTAATAACGTCTCGTGTTTGTTCCGTTACGGATAAACGAACTTTCGGTACGTTAAATACGCGAAAACGTCGTTGTCGCAATATTACAGAAATATCATTCAATTCCTGCTAATAATAATTGTTTCAAAAGAAAAGAGAAATACGACACCATAATAATAATAATGATAATAATATAATAGTTTTTGTAAGCACGCGTTGGTCGTATTATTTTACTATATTGTAAAATTTGTTATTAAATTTATTATACTGATCGCGGGATATAATTTGATATATCGGATACTTTTTCGTCGTTATTTAATATTTTTTTTTTTTTTAACCGAAAATATCGTTAATACGGAAATCTCTCGTTTATTTATTATAAACCATTGTTATTGCTGTTTACGGGGAAAAAAAAAAAAAAAATTATTAATTTTTCACACCCGTGCTTTAATAATTAATGTTAGTATCGCGTCTGCCTACAGACAATTAATAACGAAAATAAAACAAATATGTTTCCATAGGGATGTAAATTACGCCGTTTTTACATTTTTAATAATTATCTGTAAACATTTTTTTTTGAAAAAACCGTTTAAAAGATTTATTAATACAACAATAATTACTAATATAAAATGCGTTCAAAATAATTATAAGTTATATTTAAAGACGCGGTTAGCGACCGCTGTAGTTGATGTCTTCCAATTATTATATAATATGTATTCAGTACGTACGTACAGAATATGTGTAATTGATATTGTGATAAAAAAAAAAAAAAACCAATAAAATTGTCTTCCAGGTCTTGTGTACCGATATTATTACCATATTCAATTAATTCTGGAAATTAAAATATATTTTTACTAATATATAATATTAACGACAAGAATGTTCGGTCAATATTATGTTTGAGAAAAAAAAAAATACAAATATATATAACGAACAGAAAAAATTGTATCGTAAATAATAATAATATTATATAAAATTATTAAAAATTTTATCGTTCATACATCTAGTAACTAATTTTAATAACAAATTAATGTCTTCCATTGATCCTAAATATTTTATTATTATTATTTTTTTTAACTGTGTTAAGTTTTTCAAAATGGTTTAGCCGTATTGTTAATTCATTTGAATTATTTTTTCTTTTAAATAAGAAAAGCGTTTTACTACTATTAATATTATTATATTAGTATATTATTATAATATAGCATTTAATTGTAAGTACAGTCAATTGTAAAAGTCTTCCAGAAAAAAAAAAATATGTATACATATTACATATATTTTTAGTATTGTAGATGTTGTCGAATAAGTACATACAATAATTAACTATAAATATTATCATAATTTATAATATAATATTGGTTATAATTCTGTTAAAACTATTTATATAGTGATTTTAACCGTTAGTGTGTTGTTATGTATTTACGTACATATTCGTGTATTACTTTGTCAAATTATAGTGTAGATAATATTATTATATTAAAAAAAAGTAGCGAATAGGTACTTAATTAAAAAAAAATAATAATAATAATAATTGTTTTGTATTCATATGTTTATAATAATATAAATTATTATTGAAAAAAAAAAAAAAATGTATTGTGAACCCTTAAAAATAACATTATATTATTGTTAGTAGCTTTTTATTCAATAAGTATTTAGATTATAAAATACTATTTAACTATCTGTTCCTTAATTAATTTGACATTATCAAGAATGAATGATTGGATATAACATTATTTTGGAATAACAAACTATCGGGTGAAAAGTCTATTCCATTAGTAACTGGACAATATTTATCAATCCCATTGATGAAGTGAATGTACACAGATTTCTATCTGATTAATTAAGGAACAGGTGGATAGTTTGCAATATTTTTCATCTTTTAATATTATTCGACATACCTATATAATTAACAACAATATTATACCCTTTTATTATTGTTATAATTTAACACAAATATTAATTTGTATTTATCTAAGACTGCCAATATTGTCTTCCACATAATGTATACAGTTATATTATTATAATACTCTTTCAGTAATACCAATTTAATGAAATACACATTATAATATCTTAAAAATTGTAGTTTTTTTAATCAAACAATTAATGTACATTATAATATCAATAATTTTATTGTTGTCAATTGTGATTATACACAATACACAATATATTATAATATTACAATTTTAACATTTACGATTATTTTTAAATAATAATTACAAAAGTGAATAAATTTGTTTGGTCGTAAATTTATAAAATATAGTTTTTTTTTAACAGTTATTTTATAAATAAAAAAAAAATCAATATTTTATAATTTAAAAATATTAACAAAGTCCAGGTATTATTGGTAGAGCCCTGATCTTTATGCATTTAAAATGTTAAGAATATAATGTTTCTAAGCTTAATAATTCCAACAAATTTTTTTTTTTGAAACATGGTATTTTATAAAATACCATAAAAATAAATAAGTGACAATTAATTATAAATTTAAAAGTGTATTATATCCAGAGGGTAAATCACTAAAAGATATCAGTGTAAAAATGTTTAGTAATCATGGAAATCCTTGGTAATCTTGATAATCTTTTTCTCCTTCGCCTTGATCCTAACTATTTCTCCGAAATGTTTAGTTTAGAACTCCTCATACTCAATTTTATATTGGATGACTACCTGGCATAATCCTATTTGTCATCTTCTATGATAGGTAGATGTATCTTGGGAGTATTATGATACCTTCCCACAGAGAACAGGTCTCGATAAATCATTGAGAAAATTATGGTATTCTAGAATCTGGTGTACACAATAATAATCAATGATATACCCTCTAATTATATAAATTGCAACTGTTTAAAAGTATTAAAAATACAGCTCATTGACAAATAAATTGCCAAAAAAACAAATTGCATAGTATCAGTAAAAACATAAAAATCTGGTCTTTAATTATATGTTCAGTAAAATGTCATCATAATTGAATATAAATTGAATAATGTGCTGCTATTTATTATTTCTATTAATTAAACAATTTTTTTTTTCTAAAATGTTTACATGAATAATACAATCATTAGGGATAACGTACAATTAGAAATACATTTCAAAAAAAGATATGAGGTATAAATATAATATTAAGTTTGAGTTGACGAAATAGCTATAAAATTCAGTGTACATCAAGAAATATAGCATTAAAGATTTTATTGATTTCCAAACACACACACAGCTTAATATTAGCTTTAATATTTAATTATTATAACAGTAGTGAATGAACTTGATTCAAAAATCATAATTTGAAAGCCAGAGCTCATTATTAAACTCTTAAGTAATCAAATTTTAAATAATTGAACAAATTGATGACAAACCTCGATAATTAAATAAAAATTGTTTTAAACGAGTAATGCTGGTGCATTTTTTTTCCCAGGCCATGCTTCTTTTGCATACTTTTTCTTTTTGGGTTCATTGGAAGTTGGTTCTACTTTTTCCGTCACCACTGGATTAGGAGCGACTGTTTCTTCTATGCTGGGATTAATGTCCACATCTGGTGCAGGATTTGGTAAATTCATACCCAGACGATTACCAATCGAGGATAAGAATCCATGTGACTTATCACCTTCAGGACCTAAACAAAAATTTGTATTAATAATCAATCAAATAAAAATATTAGTAATAGATAGCCATTACCTGGAATATCGCTGTAAAGTGAATTACTTAAATGAGCTCCGGGAATCATATTTTTCATGAAGTTTTTACTTTGGTTATTGGAAATATTCTGGTCAATAGCAAAACCCATGGTATCTTTGAATTTCTGTAAGATATTACCCAATTATTAATAAGTCAAATGTCAATACAATTTTAACGTGAACCTCTAGATTATTATATATTTACTTTATTTGGTATGACAGTAGTTCTAATAAGGTTTCTGAAACGACCAACTGACGGATCAATATCTTCTGGATTTATTATCTGTTCATCTTCGTTAAAATGAACTCCTCTAGTCCGTTTTCGTTTTATTTTCAATGAATCTTCTGATATGCCAAGCATTGAAATGCGTCGATTTTGAGCTGTATTAAATTCCGTCAAATTCTATAAAACAAATAATATTAATGATTCACACAGAATATTTTTTAATTTAGATTGTCTATAAGTACATCAAGTTCAAGATCAGTTTCTGGTAACCCTAATAAACTGGACGCATTATCAGATTCTCTTTCTAACTGGTCCATAATGGGCCGAGGTCCGAAAGCCGATGTAGATTGGGGTCGTTCACGTATGATGTATGTTCGAGTTGATGCACCAAAATGGAATTGGCTATTTATAGGCAATTGTGTAGGCTTATCTGCTTCAATTTGAATGCTACCAATATATGTACCATGAGCTACATAAAAAAAAATAAAATAAATAATGAGCTTTGAAATATTAAAAGGCTATTGTACTATGTTGTAAAACACATCAAACTTAACAAAATTCAAAAAATATTATTTCTAACTTACTAGATCCAAGATCGACTAAAAACGCTCTATTCAAATGCTTGTGGTAAACAAAAGCTGCATGAACTCTGGAACATGACTGATGATCAATACAAAAGTCACACATTTGAGCATTGCGTCCAAACAAGTAGCATTTTTTCTGATCCAACATTAGTTTCTATAAGTAACAAATTAGTATAAAACTTTGTTATTAGTTACTTGTGTAATTTGATTAACTCACTTGAATTAATTTGTCTCCTTTTAATACATCCAAATGCAAACCAACCGGAGGTTTACCAGCCCTAAAAACGAACCAAAACATAAAATTATTTTATGTAATATTACCTACCTATAATAATACTCAATAGTTGTAAGTATAAGTTAAAATTAATATGCATATAATTCTTACCAATTGGGAACATCATAATGGTTAGCCATTATATTTTAATAGATCTTTAAATTAAAATATAAAAAATCATAACTAATAGGTCGGTAAAGAACGATATATGAATAAGTTTAACAGTAAGAATACAATGTGTTATTTACGAAACAGGAACATCATTTAATAATATAATAGTAAATGAAACATTAAAAAATTTACTTTATCAGATATTTTGTTTATGGAAACTAGATAGCTGATTCGGCTTCTCGAATTTTCTTATCAACTACCTTATCATAATTAACCACGAAACCGCATTTTATGATTTGGATATTATACGCATTTCTTTTGTCACAAAACCACGGTAAACGTTAGAAAACAAAATGAGGGGCCTAGGACACAAGGGGTTTAAGTGACATTTTATCAATTTTGAGAAAATCAAGTTTAAAATTATTTATATTTAATACAATTATTATAGTACGTATATTGTCATATTATCACTGTACTTGTGTTCGAAAATTGATAAAAAAAAGTTTTAAAAACTTGGCAATAAAGATACCTAAGTGTGTTTATAGCTGTTGTGGACCTTTGTAGGTATCTATTTACTTCTAATATGTTCTGGCATTTTCATTTGAAGACTATTTTAGTGAGATCTAGTATTTGCAACTAGATCGCAGTGCATGACGAATTATTTTCTTATATTTCTTTACCACACAATAAAACTGAATATTTTTAGTTCAGCTGCAGTGCTCTAAATTCAGATTTTTTAAAAATGCCACTTACGTATACCCCTGGTGTTCTAGGCGCCTCAAATAATCTAAAGAAAATAGATAATATTTGTTCACGATATCAGACGAATGACGATTAAGAACTGTCTGAAGGCAAGATACATCTCAAATCGTGGTTGGAGTAATGACTTGGCAGCCGTTATTATAGACAATGAATTACTGATAATAGGTAGTTAATCGAGAACAATTCGAAAAACAACTCAACAACAATTCAAATGGATAAGCAAGTATGTACCTACCTATATTTATGTATTTTTATTTTAAATTAATTTTAGAATTGAAATCTAAGGTACAAACTGATGATTGTAATTTAAAATTTAAATTTCGTAAAACTTTTTGTAGCTTATATATACATCTTACTCCTATACAATATTACCTGCATTATTATATATTACTATAGACAGATAGGTGGGTACCTGGTACATTAAAGTGTTAGCTACCGTTAGCTTTATCTGAAATTTAAACATCAAAATTCAAGATTTAGGTTTTTATTTTACGTTTTAATACAGGGGCTGTGATAAGTAATATATTTGCGGCATAATATACTCGCCAATTGTTTTTTTTTTATAAATTTAGGTTGAACTCTGGCTGTGTATTATTAGATAATAATTATTAAGAAAGACAATTACATTAAAAAAAAGAGATAGTTACAATAATTATCTATAATCAATAGAAAATACTTTTAGGTGACTACTCGATTTTAATTTCATATCCACTTATTACGATTTTTAATTTTATTTCCAGACGAAAATATGCTTGTATGTTGGATAGGTAAAGATTGTTTCTTTTAGTATGCGTAGTCGTGGGTGTACAAATATTAAATTTTTAACCTGTTGTTCATTATTTATAAAGGTAAATTTGTATACATATAAGAACGTTCCTCATTTCTTGGAGTTGAAGGTTTTTAAGTGAAAAAACCAGTTCCAAATATTTTTAAAAAGAACCTGTGAATTATTCAGAATTTTATTTCGACGCAAGATGGCGCCTCATGATATGTGTTTTTACATTTAAGACTTATATTTATTCCTATACGCTGCAGAAAATATCTGAAAAAACTTCAAGCTGCAGGTAGAAATTGACTAGTTAACAACTATTACCTCTTTCTATGAGGGAGGGGGAAATTAATTTTGACAGAAATGCACATGTTTTTGTTTTTGTTTATTTTCAAATTTATGTCTTTTATATATTTTGCCACCTAGTGTCAAAATAAAAATCTGATCAAATCGTAGGATTTTAGATTCTGAGTGGAGCGTATAATGTATTGGTTTTACCAAGATGTAAATATTTCTGAAAGGAAATTTTCTTGGGGTGGTACTTTAAAGAGGTCATTTTTAAATTTTCTCATCAAATGTGAAGAACCAAACAAAAATAGGAAAATTTACGAAGTATATTAGTAAAATATTATGATTTTTTTTTCTGTGGACAACTTTTCTACCAGCAATTTTGCTCCGATTTACAATGGCTGCACTTTTTCTAAAAGGAAATCTGATTGGGAAGGTACTTAAGAAGGGTTAATTGTTTGATTTTCCCAGGATTTTTTCATAAAACGTGGAAAGCGGGAAAATCGGTACAATATATTAACAAACATTATCAAAGAAAATATATTATGCTTATTTTATTATTTTATCATAATATAATTTATATATATACTTTTGATAAAGCATCACTATCAACCGAATTGCGCTCAGAATTACAAAAAATGATCTCGATACTAACAGGATAAAATTTCCTTTCTGAAAAGGTGATACATCGGAGCAAAATTTCAGGTAGGAAAGTTGCTTACAGACACACATAAAAAAAAAAAAATAATAAAAAAAAACACATAATAAAACCAATAGATTTCGCGTTATGAATTGAACATTAAAATTCTGAAACTTTAAATTTTTTGTTTTTGTTTTTTTTTTTTTTTAAAAAAAAGTTTTTGAAGGTAAAATATACTGTATTCTAAGAATCTGAAGTTTTCTAGTTTTTCGGTAGTAACTTCTTTAATAATGATTTCCGTGAAAAATTCCAATATTTTTAAAATCTGTGTAGAAGAATACAACTTTTCAAAAATTTAGAAATATGTGAGGGGCGTGGTAAAGTCCTTGTTGCCGCATTTTTATGGATATTTATTATTTATTATTACTCTTTTGTAACACTGAAAAATGTAAAAATATTGATTTTATAGTTTTATACAAATGAATACAATTTTTAATTTGAATTTATCAAAAATTATTTAACAGAGTTTTTTTGTAATTCAGTATGTAGTACATAAAGTAATCGTATAAACCTAAGTTTGTATTGAATACTTAGATTAGCTCTTTTTAGACGTGGTAAAATTTTCAATTCAATCCAGTTAGTTTTTAGCTATTAATTCGACATTTTCGTGTTTTTTTTTTTTTTTTAGTTTTTATTTGATTTTTTATCGGTACAATTTTTTTGACTTCTCAAAAGGGCTAGACATTTTGATACAAGACAGGTTAGGTTCCTAAAAAACTTCTTCTTTTTCACCGATAGTCGCCTGGATGTTCACCACCTAACTGAATATGAAATTTTAGAGTCAGATTTCCTTTTGGAAAAAGTGCTATTGTTAAAAATCGAAGAAAAATCGCTGGAGACAAGTTGTCCACAGAAAATACAAATCGTAATATTTTACTAATATATTTCATAAATTTCTCCGTTTTTCCTCGTTTCTTTGTCGTTTTTCACATTTGACGAAAAAACTCCCGAAAAAATCGAAAAATAACTTCCCTTACGTACCGCTCCAGTCCCCGAGAAAATTCCTTTCGGAAAAAGGCGTACATCGTATACACCGGAGTAAGCTTTCTGGTAGAAAAAGTGTTCACATAAAAAAAAAAAAATCTCTGTAAAACTAACACATCCTTCGCACCACTCAGAATCGAAAAAGGCGGCTTTACCGTGGGTTACATTTTTTTACACGCTATAGGTTATCTCTGAAAAAAAAAGACCGGGGTCGCTACATATTTTTCGAATCTCCCTCGGCCGATCTGCGACTAGTTTTCGCCCGTGACTTTGCGACACCGTCGTATATGTTATAGCAGTAAGGTATACAACGTGACATTACACAACACACAAAACGTGATAGTAAAACCACTGAAATTCAGCTTTCTTCTAAATGCATAATATGTGTATTTCTGACACAAAACCCCACTGAAAAAAACATTTTTATATTTAAATATGATAATAGTTATTATAATTCACAAACACTGTGCAGGACACTCTATACAGTAAAACTGCATTTACATTAGTAACATAATATTTTAATTTAATTTATTACGTGTAAACAATGCGAGGATAAAAAAAAAAACTATGAAAAAATAAAATAAAAATATTTCAGGCGATTAAAACTATTCACATTATGGCGTGTGGGAATATCGATTAAAAAACATTTTTACTTTTTTTTTCTCTGTCAATTATTAATACCGCGAAAAAAATTTATAATTTATTATAGTCTTATGGCATTTCAGTGATTTTTTTTTTTTTTTTTTAAATCTCGAGTGCTTTGAGCGCTTCGCAGTTTTTTTCCCATAGTTTTAGCGTTTTAAATAATTCGCAACTCACATTTCACGATCTATGTCTTAATATTATATTTATATACATACAGGTACTGCAATGACGTATTTGATATCGTTTCATCAGTGGTGTGTCCTGCAGGAATTTTTAACGGGAGGGAATGCGATATGGTGAATAATAATCGCGGTTCATGAATAAATCATGGTATCTAATGATAATTCTTCCTTTATATTATTACCTGTCCTGAAAATTTAAAATCCGTGTTCAAAAGACCAAAGTCCTTTGTGTCATGTAACACTATGATATTACTACTAGAGTAGCGAACAACAATACAATAATAATGTATTCATCTTGTCGTAATTAATTATTTAATCGAAACGGAAGAAGAGTATTTGCAGGTTACGCCGAACATTTCAAAACCGATTGTATTATTGGGTTTCTAAACGTGCCTAAGTTTAGAACGCTCTATAATATCCTCGTTGTGTCCGCCCCGTTCGTGTGTAGTTACGGTTGTTGATTTGGGATGACGACGTTATATTTACACTTGAACCGATTTTGTGCTGTTTGTTTTAATATCAGAGTGTATTGACCCATTATCAAACTTGAAGGCAAGAACGTCGGTCTGTGTTTGTACGTAGGTTTATTTTTAAATATTTTAATTATTATTATTTTTAAATTGTAATATTTCACATGCACATTCACATTCACTCACTTGAAAATTAAAATATGTAAAAAAAAAAAAATCAAATGCACAAATACACACAATGTTCTTACTTTGTATACAAAAAAAATGTAAATATAACGACATTAATCAATTTTACAACATTAGCCGTAACATTGTTGTATTATTGAATTTAAATTTAAATGCATAACATTACTACCGTTATTAATTTAAATATGAGTATAATAAATATAAATTATAAAATTATTTACTATTTACATATACACTAGCCAATATTAATAAAATAGGTATTGACATTTAAATACTTTAAGAATTTTAAAAATGTTCTGTTAACAATTTACAAATTAAGATATTTTATTTAATTAGTATCACATAATATTTCAGCATTATATACTAGGTTACAAAATTCTTTGAAAATTATGCACCTGTGAATATAATTATAGTGTATTGTTTAAAATAAGTTTAGAAGCCGGAAACTTAGTACTCCCGACTTCCCTAAATTTAAAATATTATAACATAGTTAGGTATTACTTGCATTAATTATTATATACTTATTTACTTGTTATGGATTCGAAACTTAAACTTGTGTAATACTATATAAGTAGTTAGGATGTATAAATAGTGAAGTATTCTGGGAAGAGATACCTCCTCTCAAAACAATTTACTCGACTATCTTTTATTATTGATATATATATGTATATTTGTAAATTAGTTTTTAGGATTACCCATTCTTACCTAGAAAAAAAAAATGCAAAATTTTCGATATATTTCTGGTTTATACCTTGGTTATGGATGGAGCAAAAATACATGATTAATTCTATTACGTATAAAATAGTTTTAACTTCTGAGAAGCGAGGAATGTATTGGTTTTACAATGTTAATTTTTTGTTATTGTGAACAAATTTTACACCAGAAGTTTTGCTCCGATTTTCAAGTGTAGCACTTTTTCAGAAAGGAAATCTGACTGGGGTGGTATTTTAGGTAGGTTATTTTATGATTTTTCCAGGGTTTTTCATACAAAATGGGAAAAATGAGAAAATTTATGAAATGTTTTATTTTTGAATCGTAAATATTACGATCTTCTATGAACTAAATTATCATGTATTTCCTACTTTTTGAATATTTATAATTAAAATATATTATTTTATCGTCGTATGTATTTTATTTTCAACATATTATTTCTATACATAATACATAGATGAACATGCATACTTCACAAAATTGTCAGACTATATGAAAAAAAAAAAAAAAAAAAATGTTTGTGTGCTTAGATGAAAAAAAATAAAAATAACATATATATCATTGTAACCTTAACAAAAAAAAAAAAAAAAAAATCATAGCAAGATAAATTTAATAACCGATGAAAGTTTCGGCGAAATAAAAAAAAAATATCCGTTTTGTTGAAAACGTTGTAAATTTTAATGGTTTTTTTTTTTTTCAATGTTTTTCATGGCATAGTTTTTCTGTGTGCTCGGGGAAACTATTGGATAAACGACCTCTTCAACTATTTATATTAGGTACAATGTACATATATATATATCTAGAACAACTCTGCCGTACCGCGGTAAATGTGTTTACTTTGGAAGATTTCAGTAGGTATTCTTTCTTACGACCTCTCAAAAAAAAAAAAAATAATGTTTGTGTGCTTAGATGAAAAAAAATAAAAATAACATATATATCATTGTAACCTTAACAAAAAAAAAGGTTTGTTTTTTTTTCGCGGGAAAGAAGGATCCGGGTATATTTAAAAAAAAAAAAAACAACAAAATATATTGAAAGCAACGATAAATCATTCGAAAAACGATTTGTGCGCAACTCTGTGTGAGTGTATGTACAAACGTATATTAGGACAAGGTCCGTTTTCGGTATAATATCTTAAAAAGGATATGGTTAAATTGATTTGGGTGTAAAAAGCGGCCGTGTCGCATGTCTGCATTTTTAGCGTTATCGTTTAGATTTTATTTATTAAGATCGAAAATAGGTCATTTTCGGTTTTGTTTCGTTTTTGTATTTTTTTTGTTTATTTAAAATATGAATATTATTCAAGGAGAAAAGAAAGGAGTGTATAAAATACGTATCGAATAAAAAAAAACGTCAAGTAAACACATTTCATTTTTTCGGCTTTACGATGACGACTAGATTGCATGTACTGCAATTACATCTACACCTATAATTATAATAATATTGTTATCGTCTACAACTTATATAACTATATACACCTATATATTTTTATTTTATGATTTTTCGGTACCTACTATATTATTACATTTCGCCCTATGTGTAATTTATAAGATATAAAACTATAATTTCGGAAAAAAAATTTCGCCTTGACCTTCACAAATCAATCGCGATCCCGAGTGGGCCGCTATTCTGTTAATAAAACTGCTCAAAGTATAATGCGCTCACTATCGGCTCACTTTCTTGGCACATTCCTTATAAAGTACGTTCCTTTAAAAGTATGCAGATTACGAAATGTCTGGAGGTGTCGCATTTGACTTAAGTACTCGTCGTCCTGCAGTCTTCGGTATATTTTCAATTCGATTAACATCCTGAGTTTTTATCATCAGACGAAGAATTTCGTTACAATTTTCGCATATACAAAACAATATAATAGTAATATATAGTTCCTAATATACAGCGTGTCCCACTATGTTCGACAGATTTTTCTAGAGCTGTTTAAATTATACATTTTTAAATTTCACGGATTTCCAGATAATTCCAGTTATCAGTTAATATCACTTATATAAAAAAAAAAAAAGTATACTTCTACCGAAAATACAGGAATAAATGCTAACTCCAGAGTCAAGTACCATATGCACGCCAAGTATGCCAAGTACGCGCGCACTTTTTAACGAAACATATTCTAATAGACCGCCGGGTGATTCTTCTGTATATTTACTTCTATAATCGTACGCATAACTTATTCAGTTGTATCGTCATAATGTTGTGTTTGAAATTTAAATACGACATTTAACGCTGCAATTATAATATAATGCGCGTAGAATAGTATTACGTAATTTCATATGAATAAAAAGTACATCATTTATACAGTATTATAATATGTAACTGGCTTATAACTGTACAGTCAGGATTACTGAATAGGGTTGAAAAAATTGGGTTGTTTTGTAACGATGCGAAAAATAAAAAATAAAAAAATACGTTAATATTATGTCTCTATACATTTCTCGAATGTCTCGTTTTTAATGGTTATAGAATTCTTTTTAAAATTTATGTTTTTACATTTTCCGTTGAGTGTACATAATATACGCGTATTGTTCTGCGATTAACACAATAATATATAGAGACCGCAGTGTACATTCAAAATGATTTCACATAATGGTATGAATAAATGACACATAAATCACATATATTATATAAAATGAATACCTATATAGTTTTATCAGCTGGTAGCGACCCGTAAAACGGAATGAATTAATCTTAAATTTTTCTCGAGGCTATTGAACGGCACGCAAAACAAAATGGATGTCTCAACAATAATTTCAAAGTTGAATTTTAATCATCATCTAGCTATACAAATAGTTTGGTTCCTTGGTGGCTCACAACTCTTAACCCACTCTTAACACTCAACTGAACAATAGATACAAAAACCCCACTCCTTGAATTTCCTTTAAAGACCAAAGGCGCAAATAAGGTGGAACATAAGTTTATCTTCTTTCCGAATCCATGAAATGTCCGCGCACTAATGTTTCCATCGAAAAAACGGTTTCTCGTAGTCCCGTCATAAATTGGTTTTGCTTTGGTTCCCTTAAACTGTGAATATGGTTTAAACCGTAAACACGGAACACTGCGAATACTGATAATGCACACATAATATTATGATTTATAATCATAATTATAATTATAAATTCGATTCTTACTTCTCTACTCTAATCTTCCGAAAATCTTAAAGGCGACTGCCTCTCAAATAACCGTTCGCCACATTGTCCCTGGTCGGTAACACTGTAAACTGAAATGTTTTCAGTGAAATATACGTAGGCAATTAACGAAAACTCAATAATAATATTTATCGCTTGTAATACTGTAAAATATTAATACGTTTTACGATCCTAAAAGTATTGTTATAGTTGTCTTGATTTTGTCTACTGCAATCTAGCATTTTATATTTTCTTTTGTTTTTCTTCGATTTTTTCATTGAAAAAGTTTTACGATAAAATATAAATGTATTATATCTATATCTGTGTATTATATGAAAGGTTAGCGAAATATATATTATACATGTAATATATTTATACTAGTCTGGTGAAAATATTTCATTAAAACCCGTCTTTCGAATGAAAACAATTTTCGAGCGAAATCGCGGGGGGGAAAAAAGTATACTCGGTGAACACTTTTCCTATATAATATTATTTCATAAAATATGCGATGTACTTACCTCCGTTCCGTTATTGTGTGTGTTTACGTGTATATATACAGAGTGTCTCACGATTATCCGCAACTTGAAATTTGCAACTTTTGTTCTATTCGATATTTTATTTTAAATAATTAGTATGCCTCAGCACTACAGTTTGTGTCTGAACATTTTTTTTTTTAAGGGAAATGGGACTTAAAATAAACATTTTTAAAGTTTTACTATAATTTTTTTAAAAAATTCAGAAAAGCCATTATGTAAGATAGATTTTTAGAAAATTTTTGGTGGTTGAAACTTTTGTTCAATTATGGTCTTTCATTTTCTACGATTTTTTTGAAAATTTTAATAATTTTCTCTTCAATCATAACAATATTGTTTACCAACATGTATGACCATTTATCTACTACCTAATACCCATAATATGATAATGTTATTGCATTATATTAACTCATGGAAAAGAAAACCCTTGTTATGTGTCCTGGCTAATAACTGATGAAATAACCACAATAGGTAATATTTATGTTTGCAAAACTTCAACAAATCGTAGAAAATAAAAGATCATAAAGATTCAACCACCAAAAATTGTATAAAAATTATTTTACAAAACGACTATTTTTAATTTTTTTTAAAAAATTATAGTAAAATTTTAAATGTTTTATTTTAAGTCCCTTTCCCTCTAAACAAATAAAATAAAAAAAATGTCCACATATAAACTGTAGCGCAGATGCATATTAATTATTGAAAAAAAAAAATATGTCAAAAATATCGAAAAGAACAAAAGTTATTTCAAGTAGCAGATCATCGTGGGACACCCTGTATATATATATGGTACGCGGTTTTACAACACGCAGTCTTTAATCTCGCTTTGCAGTTTATACGTTTATGCGGAAATATCATCTGGGATACGTGTCGGGTTTCTGTATTTTGTATTAAACAAATCTTAGCGCGAAAATGATTTATGCGTCTACGCTGGGCATGCACATTTATATCAAATATTTCGCGGGTTGTTATACCAAAATATTACTCGCTCGGCTCGATATTATATACGCGGCACCGTACAATTTCGTATTGCCATGCGGTTTTATAGCTGCGTGTTGTACAATATACGCGGTTTGTTTAAAATAATATTGTTTTCCCGATGCGACAGCCGCCGGATAATACGATACAAAATTGATGACGTATATTCGGTGTACATAAGTAATTTTTATTTACGCCTTTCGTTTAGGTTCTCGTTTCAATTGTGCGCACAACGATTTTATTGCTATGAAATATATATATATATACAGTGTATTGTACGTCTTACTATAGTTACTGCTCGCGAAAACAAAAATATCAAACAAACCTTCCGCCCTGAAGAACTGATGTTATTACTGATGGGCGTGCCACTGTTATGCATAGCGAGAGGTGGGAAGTGGGTTACGCGGAATACGTAAAGTCATTTGATTTATATCTGTACGCGACGATAAATTATTGCAGAAATGCGATTCTGAGCGAACTTCGGTCAAACATATGTTTCGAAATGCCGTCGTTTTTACGATTTTCGTCAAAACGACGTTGAATTAAAATGATGATAAAAACAAAACTACTGCAACGTTAAGCTCCACTTTTTTATTTGACCGTTAACGCGTGTGTGACTTATAATTTACCCCGTGTAAAATGTGTAAAATGAATAGCTCAAAAATAGCCAGATTCCTTTGAATATTTGATCGCGTTTAATATAAAGGCTATAATATATAAGTATTCTGTCTGTCCGCTATGAAAAATCTTTATTCTGATCTCGATGAAACTTTCCACACTCAACATTCAAAATAATTAGAGGTAAATTGGCGTTTAATTTTTATCACGAAATTTAAACCGTTAAAGGGGTGGATCGTAATTGGTTTTGATATTTTAATACGGACAAATTGTATTTATTCGGCTGGTTTTTACCTAGGTTGTCTCGGCGACACGGACGAAGTAAAAAAAGAACAGTTATTATTATTTAGTTAATCGGTTGTCCAAACAAAAAAGTATCACTTTGTCCATTATTTTTAAAAGACAAATTATCAACAACGTTGGTTAACATTGATTGGGATAAGGGTGGAAACGAGGAGAAACGTTCAAATGAATTTATTTTATTGATCGCTGTTTTTGAAAGAATTGAGTCCGGGTAATACTGGGTAATTAAGACAATAATAAAGGAAGAATAAATTTAAAAAATGACTATACCAAAAAAATTAATTAATTCCGAAATTCGCATTACATATATTTTTTTTAAAAATAAGGTTTAATAATTAAACAATATAATCCCGACAGTTAAAGAAAAAGAAAAATACATAGACCATACCCGAATTTTATTTTGTTGATTCTTGACAGTTACTTTATCGAGCGACAATGGGAAAAACATGCCTATTGACTAATATACTATAACCTTACAAATTTGCCAAGCACAGCTCAAAACAGTATTTTAATTGAAATTATTTATCGCTACTTTCAGTATGTAATCTAAATCAACCTAAATCTCACATTCTTACATATGCTTATCAAACTTATCACCCACAAATATAATAATATGGGTATAGACTACTGCCTATACCCATGGTACGAATTATGTCTGGCTTTTTAAAAATTTATTTCTACACTGAAAAAGTTTTTAATATTATACATATATTATTCGTGTACCCTCTGAGTAAGCATACGGGCGTGAAATTGTCCTCCTCTCGATTTTGTTCTATAAGTAGGAACTCTTCGTACCAAAGTCAATATTTAGCAACCTTTTAGAAACTATATGTATATTGCAACCGACTTGAAAATATTTACAATCTGATAGGTTCTTATATACTTATCAAATTTATACGAGAGAAGGGAGGGGAGAATTAATAATTCTCGGTTATATGTATGAAGGAATATAGATGTTATTATAGAATGGGTAGCGGTTATATAGAGGTAGGTAGTATTTCAGAAAATAAATTATTTTGCACTTAAATTTAAAAAAAAAAACTCGTACATTTTTTTTAGCAAAACCTACTGCAAAACAATAATAAAAACAGCTGATACTGGGGACGGGTGCAGCTACTGTTTTTTGTGGGTATTTGGGAAGGTATAGAATACATATAGAGTTATTTAATTCATATCTATACGCAAACGAAAAATGATTCGGAGCGAAATTCGATAAGACATATTTTGAAATGTCGTAATTTTACAATTTTCATCAAAATATGATGTTAAAAAAGAAAACTATAACGCATTAAACACAGATTTTGTTTTTTAGACCACTATAAGTACAATACTAATAATGTACCTTGTGTTAAATTTTCAAGCATTTATCTTAAGTTATATAATTCAAAAAAAGACAACTTTGGCAAATTAAAAAAAAATTAAAATAATAACGTTGAGAGCTGTGGCCAACCAATCGAAAGATTGAAGACCTAAAAGAACAAAGGAGAATAAATTATTGTTGTCGTTGTTGTTATTGTGAAAAATATATTTATAGTAAACATTTAAAGACATTTAACGTGCAATTCATAATGGACACGTTGCGATATTCGCTAATTTTCAGCAAGGGGCCTCGGAAAGACAAGTTTTAATAATTATTCGATTTATTTTGGTTTTTTTATCTTCATTCAAAAACTGTACACGCTCGAAGTTGTGCCGGATTACTAGTTTATTTATTTATAGTGTTTGCACGTTATGCATTGCGTTTTACGTAGACAATTTACTAAATATGAGGATGAGAATACGAATTTTTAACGTGTAATATAGTGACGGAGTTTTGCAGCTCACGGATGGTTTTTCCCCCTTATTTTTTACTGATGAAATATTATATTTCCGTAACGTCGTCGGTATTGTATGTATTTCAAGTGTGAAGGTCATTAGATACATCGCCAGTGATTTATAACGAAAAAATACATTTTGCATAGTACAAATCGCGCGGTTGAATATTTGATGACTGGCTCTGCAATATAACTTCAAATCGCTCGCGTATTATGTACAGCGCAGATGTTTGTTTGGAGTACATGTTATACATAAAGGGACGGAAATGTAAATTTATTTCAGGAGAATAAAAAACGGTTGGGCGGGAGATAACGCGTCGAAACTCGGAAATTTGGGCGTCGTCGGAAACGATTTATATTTTATTCGCTGGTAAATTCGTCGTCGATTTATACGCTCGCGTTAACTTTTTTTTTTATTTAAAAAACTAAGAAAATTCCGTTGAAATCTCCTTAAACAGCGATATCGCGATACTTTATTTTGTATCGGGAAACTCGTCGTTTTCCGTCTCGGAATTACAAACAAACCAAAATCCTTGGTTTTCTCTTATCTCGTCTAATTTATTTCTCTAATGTTCTGTGGTCCTAGGATAGAAGGGCTTATGTCAATTTGAACGGTTTTCAATACAATAAATTAAATTATGCAATCATATACACTTGCGTCATTCAGATCAAAAGGGTAAAAAATTATTAGAAAAATGCTTAATTAATAATTGAAGCCCTTCTTCCCTGGGAACAAACGTTTAATGTTACGACTAATGTGGAAAAATTGGAAAACGTCAAATTTCGATCAGAAGAACTAATTTGTGCTAATAATTTCAATATTAGAGTGAATATTGGTTTATTGAACTAAAAGGTAATGTTGTGTTTATTCGATATCTTCACTTTTTAAGTAAAATATTAACATTTTACACATTTTTGTATCTCGTTAAAAATTAGAATTTTTGAAAAATAAAAATATTAAAACTAACAACATGAAATTGGTTCTACTGAACGAAAATTTGATTAGATACTTTTATATTTTTCAGGATTTATTTTCGATGAAAATTCCGACGTTCGCTTGCGAATGTAGGTTGTCGAACTTCTGAATTCAGTAGCACTCGGGGTACTAACTTCTTTAGTGGTTATCAGACCCGTAAAACTTAAGCTTACAAATGATAGGTAAATTTTAAATGTTACCAATGGATTAAAATAAATTGAAACCCTATACACATAACAATTTTTCGAAAGTATATAATTTATGTATCAAAAAAAAAAAGAAAAAGAAAAGAAAACCGAAGATTTTTCAAGGTATTTACATACGAAAATTTTAAAAGTATGGGAAACACAATGTAATCTTTATTTTCTATTAAATTTTCAACATTTGCCGTAACATATAATATTGTGTACCTATACAGACGACCGAATACGTTATACCTATTGCAAAATTTATTAGATTTTATCGGCCTTTTTTTTTTTTTTTGAAAATTTAAGAAACAAGGAGCTGTAAAATGTTATACTCCCATTCTGTATTGTCACCCTTATTTTTGAGAGGGCGAATCGAATATCTACGGCCACCTATATTAAAAAAAAAACCCATAAATATCGATGGAGTTTTTAGCCTAAATACGCGACGACATGTAGTCGTTTCACCGCCAAAAATAAGGGCGACAAAATATAACGGTATAGTGTTACCAGTGTTAGAGCCGCTTGTTTAAAAAAAACGTCAATGAAAAAAATAGAATCCCGAAAAAAGTCGCTACGGGTATATTTCCGCGGGACACCCTGTACACTGAAATCGAAACAAAAAACCGTGATTCGAATACGTCCCGCGGTATTCGCAGCCGCGCGATTATAGGAGGGACCCGTAATTTTCGAACCGCCTAATTGGCAAATAAATAATAGAGACCGTCCGGCCGGGATCTAATGGATGAGTTAACTGAATTTTGCGGACAGGTGTAGCGGACGAGCCGCGCGCTTACGGGGACGTCAGCCGCACACGCGCGGCATTCATTATTATTATACAACGCGGAGACGGTATTGCGAGTTGCGGTTATTACGTGACCGCGACGAACGCCGCCGTAAGTGGTGTCGCCCCGTAAATATCGTCGGTTACGGCCGCGGTGCGATAGGTTACCGGTGCCCGTTGCGGTAACGGTATTTATTCGCGGCGGGCGATGATAATATTATTGTAATAATCGTACGGGGCCGGCGGCCCGGGCAGCTCTTGCGCCGCGTTGCGCGATAACGAACGTCCGGGTACCGTACTGCGCACACACACACACACACACGCACACACACACGCACACGCGTTTGAGCGTTCGTACCCACCCCGCGGCCGTAGCGAACCCGGCGCCCGGGTAAACCGTTCCGCGCGTCCGCCCGCGCGACGACGGCCTCTACGGCTCTACGCGACCCCCCGACGACTCGCCGTTCGGGCCGCGCGCGCGGTGGCCCGTTTCGGCGCGACGGCGGCACACGGCTCTGCTATTGTATTATTATTATGCCGTGTAGCGTTTTGTCCCGGCAAACTTCAACCGGTAACCGCGCCGTCGGCGTTCCCCGCGTCCAAAAACAATATTGCCGATCGCGCGCGCGCATAACATTATTACGATATTGTAATTATTATACGAGTGGACGCCGATAAATGCGATACGATGACGTCCGTCAAACTTTTGTGCGGGCCAATATTATACGCAAACGTCGTCGTCATAACGGCAATGCGTACCGTCGGCGGCGCGATACGGACGGTGATGATAATAATAATAATAATACAGACAGTAATAACGGGCCGTGGTCGTCGTCGTCGTGTCCGATCAATACTCGGCACGCAGTGTCTGTGCTGTTGTATAATGCGTTACCGACGCGCGGCAATCGCCGATAACGTTTTAATGCAACAAAATATATCGCGTAGTCGTACAGCGCGCGGTGTTATTTGTTATTATTATTCGTTTCGACCCGACGCGAAAATTAAATCGTTTTCAGACGACGTAATAATAATCGTAGTATCGTCACGCGACGTTAATGTAATAACAGGCCGGGTGCGACCGCGAACCGGCGCACCGGCGACGGGTTAGCTTTTTCGGCGCCGCCGCCGCCGCCGTCCGCCGGTCATAGCCGCGCTCGGCGATCGAATACGGGCGGAGGCGGGATGGGTCGCCGCCCCTCGTTGTTGCCGTTGTTGTTATCGTCGTCGTACGGAGGCGGCGGCGGCGACGTGTTCGGGTATACTCACAGACGTCGTGTACGCGGTGTGCTGAACATTTGTCATACCTGAGGCGAAACAAAAAGAAATTAGGACCCGCCCGATGGAAACTCGGATTTTCACGCGCACTACACACGCTAGTTACAGCAACAACTTTATTAAAGGCGATCGGAAGCGACGAGTTTGTGGCTTTTCCTAACACGCGCGAAATACAGGGATTTAGACGTGTTTCGTTTCCGATTTACCGATCGATCTAGTAAAGCGATAGGAATGCTGAAAGCAGATTTGAATTTGTCGCGAAGTCCACTTGAAATCGACTTTCCCACGTTTCTTGATTGTTTGATTCCATTTTCTCAATTACACATTTATTAGTATGGATTTTTTTTAGAATTTAAGGAGATGAATTTAAAAAGTGGGAAAGTCGATCTCGAGTAGACTTCGCGACAAATTCAAATCCGTTTCCAGAATCCTAATCGCTAGATCAATCGGTACGCTGAAATTAAAACACGTCTAAATTCATATATCTCGCGTGTGTAAGACAAAGACAGAAACTCGTTGCTTCTAATCCCCTTAAGCTATAATGACTACATAATATATAGGCTATCATATTCGTAAGTAGGTATATTAATAGGACGGTGTTTGTGCAAACGGGATCAAGTCCTATTAAGACCTTATTAACTTAACCATACGACCGGGGAATACTTACAGCCACCGGCGGTTTGGACATAGTTATGGCCGTTTATCGAACCATTGAAAATTCGAGATAGGCGGGCGTTGGGTCGTTCAAATGTTTACGGAATCGGTATGAAATAGTCGCCCCTTTAGGCGCCTTGAAGTTAGCTCCGCCGAGTTGTGCGATCGACTTCAAACCGACGTCAATATTTTGTAATTAACACATAATATTAATTGCTAACCAACGGAGATATTTTTCAAATCAGTGACGTTGGTTCAAAGTCGATCGGGCGACTTGGCGGGTCGAACTTCAAGGTCGTGTTCCTATACAAACTTAGATCACGAAATACTGTATTTGTATACTTTTGAGTTGTGTTTTTTATCGTAAACAAAATTATAGTCGTAAAACGTTTGCAGACATTTTTTTTTTTTGTGTTGCGTATTATACTTACGGGGTGTGCGTAAATATTATTTTATGCTGCTCAAATCACCGAGTAAAATATCTAGCCATTTTCCGCCTACATCGGGACTACGCGTAAATCGTAACTATACACACCGGATTTATTCATGCATGCATGAAATGTATACAGATTAACGCCTAAAAACGTCAAAAAAGCCCTGAGAAAACTCTACCTATTATAAATAAAAGAAAAATAATTTGTTTGATCATTCTTGGCGTATCTTATACGCCGGAGTCGTTAGAAGGAGTGGACTTTTAAGCCCTTCTACTATTTTTTATTTGTAAGTGCTTTATCGCCGTTTTTAAGCGCTTTTTTGTGGATTTTAAGTGCATATTATTCCTAGTCCCAAGTCACATCGCTTGCGCACACACACAATAATATTATACTGTTATAGCGATATCACTCCGTGATGTGCTCAGTGACGTAGCCAAAAGGTATAAGCGTATTAAGAGGTAGTTAAATCGGGTTAGCTTTAAAGTTTCTCTTTTCTTCCTTTCCCCCCCCCCCCCCTTATAAGAAAATGCGTACGTAATTATAATAATTATAAGATAAAATCGAGTTTAAGAAAAATAATGTATGCTGATTATTATTTCAATTTCTTATTCGCTATATTAAAATATACAAGTTTACTAATATTACGTATTTTATGTATTTATATCAGAGTTTTGAGTTTACTTATTTATTCATAACTTATTAGTTTAGTATTATAATTTATACGGTTTTTAAATTCAATTTATCGAAACACTTTAAACGTAGGTACTTCGCTGAGAATTGATTTTCATTAGCAATGATTTATTGTTTGGTACGTATATAAATTAAATTACTCTATATAACGTTTTCATATAACTTCCTCCCTACAACAATAGCGCGCCCGTGGTGTGGAGTATCTCGTTTTTTCTTCAACCCGTTCCAGTGGATTGCGTGCGAATTTTCTGCAACTCGTCGACTTTCCCCTGGAGTATACCGAACTCGTGCCTTCCGACAGCTGTGGGAGTGTACGAATGAGGGAGGTTGGCGGATACCTTATTTTGATTTACGGGTAATAAATCCTTTACACACGGGCACATCGTCCGAAATACACGGGGAACACATTAAAGTTCTGGTAAGCAAATTTGTGTATAGAATGAACGTCACCGAGGTCCCAGTCGGCAGGCACCCGTGTACCATATAATGCAATAGCACAAATCTAGTGCTAATATTTGCGGCTTAAAGAAAACCTCGCATACCTATAAAAAAAAAAAAATTATTTGAAAATAGTCATTCAATTAACAACAAAATATTTAATAACTTCGTGAACTGTCAATTTGTTGGTATCGAACACGAAACCGCCCAATGTTCTCAGCCGGTTAAGGTGTTTTGCCGAAAAAACGACGAGATGGTTAGTTAGGTCGGATATGCCCAGCCCACACAACCGTCGGGCAAAACAATCGGTCAACAACATTGTTTTGGTGATCCACTAGTCCAGGGGTCGGCAACCTTTTTTGACGGAAGAGCCAAAAGTTACAATGTACAAAATTTTCCAGATTTTAAAGAGCCACTAAAAATTTTCTTAAGTATTTAAATATAATTTTATTTTTAAATTTTAATAGACATAATAATAATGAAATTAATTATAATAATATAATAAATTTATGATAAAAAAAAAAAAAAAAAAAAAAACAGTTTTTAATAATAGGGGAATACATCAATGGCAGCATTGGCTTTGCATGTCTTGGCGTGACGGCGTATGACCAATTAGTTGTAGATAGCGTCGCAATTATATTAGACTCTATAATAAACATTTTACAACTATAGACTGTACTCCATGCGAGCACTGTCAAATTATTTTTGTGATGTATTATTTCATATTTCCAAAAGCAACAAAAATAATATACTTTTTTTTTATATTATAAAATATTGTTTTTGAACTAAAATATTAATTATTGTGTGTGCAGCTGGAGAGCCGCAACTTTAGACCGAAAGAGCCGCAGGTTGCCGACCCCTGCACTAGTCCATAGAAAATGGCCGATTGATAGATAATCTATTATTACCGTAATGTTGGCCGCAAGGAACGATACGGTGATTTTACGTATACCCGGGTACGCAATACAAAATTCTTTTACAGTCGGAGGCCAAAAACCCAAATTTGACCCAACTTGGGTTCCAAACATTAATCACATTTTTGGCCACTTTGGAAAAATATTTTTTTACTGTTGCAAGATTGGCATAGTGAGATTCGTCGTAAATTAGAACACAATAATCAATTACAAAAATCACAAAACATTTAATTAAAAAAGAATAAGAATGTATACAAATTTAACTTACCAAGTACCGCCCGAATCGCATATGAGCCCGAAACCTTGCCCCTAAAAATGTGGGCTGCCTCGTCATATCCTTGTAAATGGGTAATTTTACGGGTGGTCATGTTTTAATCCATGGCCGCCTATAAAATGGCAATACCTATGCAACAAAAAAAGCCTATAAAACGAAATGGCAGAACCAATTACTGGACTGCCATGCAAAAAGTGGACCAGTCCTCTCTATAAACATTCAAAGTAGCGTCGTCAATTTCTGACTGAAAAACGTATTTTTCTATCTTGTTTTTATTTATTACGTTAACGCGTGTTCCTTAGTCATTTAGAATCTAATTTCGTTGAGAGATTGGTGTTTTTGGCCATTTATCATAAATGCAATCGATTCGTATTTTCTTATGTTTTTAAATCTTCTTTATTAACTAAAATACACTAAAATAACAATGTTTCTAAAATGAAATTTCACTAGAGGTACTTTAGTGAGGTAATTTTTTAATTTTCCCAAGAGTTTTCCCAGAAAATGTGAAAAATCGGGATAAAACATTGGAAAACCGGGAAAAACGTAGAAAAACTGGGAAAACCGGTACAACATTAAACAAATATTATTAAAGAAAATATATAAAGCTTATTTAATTATTTTACTATAAAATGACATATATTGATGATAAAGCATCACTATCAACTGAACTCCGTTCAGAATCCTTTTTTTCATAAGAAATTGTTTATCGTTGCTTATAGGTACACATTAAATTATCTATAAATGTGGCTGCACCTTTCCTCGTTATCCTATGACGTCTTTTTGTGAACACTTTTTTTACCAGAAAACTTACTCCGATGTATGTATTGTAGACCTTTTTATGAAAGGAAAATGTCTTGGGGTGGTACTTTAGGAAGATTATTTTTCGATTTTCCCGGCAGTTTTGCCAGTAAAAGGGAAAAAGTAAGAAAAAACAGGAAAATATACGAAATATTTCTTGTTATCATTAACAAATATTCATATCCTTCCTCTCCACGACAAAAAGTCTTAGTTAAGCGGTTTAAATGCGGATTCGTGCGATTGAAAGGTTAACACGCGTGAGACCGTATACAATGTATACGTATGCTATGTATACTATACATATATTATAGTGTAACGCGGATTCGCGAATCACCGGAATGCAATTATGAAACGTCATGTCGTATTTTTTTTTTTCCTAGGGTCGTTCGGCATGCTGTTACGATTTAACTGTGCCACGGGTCATATACCGACGACAACAATAATTATAACAATGGGTATTATGACGTATATATATACCTGCATGTTGAAATCTGGTGGCCGTCGAAAATCCGTCGACGTTATTATATCCGGTAAATATTACGATCACAATAATAATAATAATAATGATAGGTACGTTTCCAGTCTTGTCGAGATTGGTATTATTGCGATATTATGCATATCGGTTAGTATGCATTGCGTAAACGATTCGGCACCGGATATCATAATAATATTCGGCTGACCGTCAATCGTCCCGGGGCATTAACGAGTTAATGGGCACTCGCGAGTAGAGGCCACGCCAGTTTTAATCGCGTAAGGCCGGATTTTCGTTGTTTATCCTGACAATTTCGTAGTCGATAGAAAAATAAAAACGAAAATGAAAAACAAAAATTATATTTGAACTGCCGTTCTCGCGGGAAAATATTATACTATACTACTATATACTTACAACAGCGGCTGCTCCCGTTTCCTAATGTAATTTTGTTTTTTTATAATTCTTGTTTTTGATCCGATGAAGACGTTTTATTTTATTAATTTTTTTTATTAGAGGAAATTCCACAAATTCGGAAGTCAATCGAGGAATGACGTTGATTATTTTTGTGTTGTAAGTGGGTTTATTTATCATAAAATTAAATTTGATTGCTACTTATGGGATAGGTATAGGTGGGTCCGGGTCTCGTATTTTCGAAAAGCCAGTATACCTTCTGTCTTTATTACAGTATTTGGTTTTAATAGGCACCTTTTTACCAATGACTATAGAACTTAGGGATATAATGGGAAAATTTTCAGCTATCACCAATAATAATTGAATCAATAATATCATTTACGAGATTGGAATTGTGAGAAATTCTATGATTTTGTTATCTGAGTTGATGTGGAATGTTGTAAAATAATAGATTAGACGCTCGAAATGTATGGAATATTGCGCTTGGACATTAAGCTCTTCGGAACAATGATAATCATTTTTATTATTTTCCTTTTGATTATTAAATTCAGATTAGCAAACGATTTATTAATATGTTCAACTTTAGAATATCGCCATTGTTGCAGAATTTACGTCACTGATTTTGATATTAGATTACTAATATTTTTTATAGTTTTAAGTCAATGGGGGAGGGGATATAACCCCTAACTTCCTTTCCTCTGCGTATGCCACTGTACACTGTACATAATATGTATTTAATAAAACGCATTTTTGTACTTGGTGTACATTATTCGTTTTCTACAGCTTCTCGAATATTTTGTATGACACACTAAACTGCAGTCATTATAATATTAACGGTCGAATCAAGTTCAGCAAATTTTATCATTAAGAACTAAAAATTCTTCTCTTCTACAAATTATTGTACTGCATTAAAACTGCATTAGTAACTTGCATTAAAAGTCATTGTAGTTATTAACATCTTTAATTGCTATATGAGCTTCAATAATCTTCAGTGCAATTTTTGATTGTACTTTATCTGATTTATTTTTATTTTTATTATTTACGACTTGTAACATACAGACTCGTGGACAGTGGTAACCAAAATGTTTTTTTTCGTTTACGATGTGTAATATTACTTTGGGCGAAAACCAAATCATTATTTTTTGAGTTTGGGTAAAAAAAGGTCATTTGGATGAAAACAGGTCCTCCCTTTAATACACATAAATTATAAATGACGACAGAAAAGTTAATGCATTATAACATTTAGCCAAATTAAATGAATCACGGGGAAAAATCCGGGGACAAAAGTCCGTTTTAAAAAAGGTTTGATAAAAAGTCCAGATTCAGATTTTATTGTCGGACAAAAGTCCGAAAATACAAAAAATTCTATTAAATTTTCATTTATAATTATACAATTTATTGTATAATAAATAATTTAATTATACGGGTTATATAGGTATATAATAATATATAATTAATATTAATTTTGAAAACTGTTGTACATATATAATATATATTATATTATACTTTTTTTTAACCCGTGTTTTTTTTCCTGTTTTCTTATTCTTATTATTTCGTATAGCTAACAAAAATATAACGGAACTCCACTTTAGTTAGGTAGGTAGGTACCTACCTATATATATATATCATATATATATATATATGATACATGCGATTATCAATATTATTAGCACGATCATTATTTATGTTGACCATTTTTATTTAAATTTATGTTAAACGATTTTTGAAAAATTGTTTACTATTATATATTTATTGTATATACTATATTGTATATAGTATATACTATATTGTATATAGTATATACCTATATAATTATAAATAACAATTTAATAAAATATTTCATATTTTCCAATGTTGTCCGACAATAAAAACCGAATCCGGACTTTTAGACCGATTACCAAACTAAATACCGAAGATATTTAAGTTACTGTTAACACGGGGGCTAATATTAATTGTTGACAGTTAATATTACTAAGAGCTAACTATGAGTATTTCCCATAAATATAAATTATCCGGATCAAAAAAACTCCTCTAAAATGATTAGGCACAACGAATACAGAATTAGATTTAGGCAATCACAACTGCCTGTGATTTACGAAATCTAAGTAACACAATTATTTTAGTGAACGAATTCATGATGAAAAATAATGCCAAAATACATTTTTTTAATTAAACTTTTCCCCTCAACAAGAATATAAAAACTAAAATTATGAACAAAAAACTGCCACAAAATACGAAAATGAATAAATACAACACGACTGCTTAAAAGAATTTTTGAAAAAAATATTTGTATAGATGCGTCAAAAATATTGTAATGTTATATAATGTTCACACAACATAACAATAATATATACAATTATTTGCATTTATAACAATGCGACTAAAAGATTCAAATGCGGCCAAGTATTGTTATTGATAACGATTTAATTTAATAAAACGTTTGTTGTTCGAGTGTGATACATATTATACTATATTCCTATCACAATCGAAATATTTTAAAATGGTCAAACATAGTAGTGATTTACGACGTTTGCGTCAGCTTTTTGAGGACACCGCCGCGTCGCCATCACCATTCGGTAATAATCTTACGATATTTCTGCACTAAATTTAATTTCATTATTAGTCAATTTTTTATCGAAACCGACGCGATGACCAACGGACCCCATTCAACTCACGAACAATAACGGTTTTTTTTCCATTGTTCGGGAGGGATCTGTCATGTTACACGCGTTATTACTACTTCCAATTGAAATATTTCAACACGAGTCAAATAAAAATACGACATTGGTCAGCCCTTTTACGACACCGCCGTCGAAATCACAGTCCCACACGAAATACGCCCTTATAATTATTTCTGTACAAAATTCAAATCAATACAACACTGGACCTGACCTTTTGCCTTTTGAAACGATTAAAATATAATGGTTTTTTTTTTCATATAAATCTCGAGCGCCTCGACCGCTCGACAAATCCCAAGACGATCGCTCTTTAGAGAATCCCGCACACAACAATTACGCATCGTCAACAAAATAGCTGGTCGGGCCGTTATTTATTCATTTTTTTGTGATATTAAAATATATTCAAGAGCTCATTGCATATCAGCTGACTTATGGCATACACCTTTATCCAAAGAGATATTAAAAATTTATGGAGACCATATTATACATAAGGGGCCATAATATAGCCGAACCGTATTTTAACCGAAAATATTTCAACCGACCGTAATAAGCCGAATATAAAATTAACAGAAAATATTTCCGCCGACAGTATTTTGGCCGAAAATAAAACAAACGAACGTATTTCAGCCGAATTGACCGAAACTATTAATTATTAACTTGTAAATTTCTTGTCATTGTTTTTATCAGAAAATATTGAATTAGAAAGCTTGGAATTTTAAATGATATTTCGAACAAAAGTTGAAAAATTTGAAAGAATATACAAATTTTTGAGTTATAATTCCGACACGATTTTGAACAAATAAAAAAAAAAATTAAACGACATTTTGAAAATTGTCTATGATAAAAATATATATTATTTAATTAATTAATTTTAAATTATTATTATTTTTAATTTCAACCATTTGTAAGCATTTAAATTATTCAGGTGTGGATAAACATCCACATGTTGGATTTAATATCAAAACCAGTGGCGCTGAAGCAGTATTAAAATAGTCGGGCAAACTTTCCAAAATAGGTAATACAAACCACCAACCACCTAAACAATATTTTCAGGAACTCATGGGTGACTTTGCTACCCATACTCTCTCCCTCGCCCTGCATTGATTTTCTTCTATTTACAACAACACCCATTTTTTATATATTTTTCTTACAATTTATTTGTACAATTTCAATACGTTATACTATACAAATTAACAAAATACATAAGTCGTACTATGGTAATATAATATAAGTTAATAATAATTTATAATATTATTTAACAAATTAATATAATTAATAGCACAATAATAAAATATACCTAGTACAGTAAAAATAAAATGATTAAAACAAATCCAAAAAAGACGGATATACTTTGCATGTGGGTGGGTCACTGTTGTAGGTAAGAAGTTGAGAAGGTAATAGAGGGGAAATTTAATGTATATTTGTACGCAATGATTAACCATTGCTAACGAAAAACGATTCTGAGCAGAGTTTGGTCAATAGTGTTACTTTTTTAACAATATATTTGTCACATTATGATAAAATACTAACATATTATGCATTATATTATACTTGTTTAATATTGTGTTTATTTTCCATTTTTTCCCATTTATTAGGAAAACTTTTTCAAAATTTTGGGAAAATCAATAAATTACTTCCTAAAGTACCACTCCAGTCAGATTTCTTTTAGGAAAAAATGCTATTAATATAATACTTACGGAATACTAATGTATACCTACTATGTAAAAAGTTAAAATAGGTACTTATATAATTATCTACTTTTTTAATTATTTTCTAATCTTGAACGTTTATTTTTGAACAATTTCCTTAGTTTTTATAATTTATACAGTTTATTCATTTTTCACGGTCGTAATTTATGTTATAGCTCTAATGTGAGAATATCCTAATGAGTAATGACTTAGTACCACGATATTGATGACATTTTATCTGCATCGTGATTGGTACTTACTGTCATTGATTATAAATCAATAGGTAATCAATAGTAATACCTAGGATAATTATTGTACAAATTAAATTTGCGTGGGTTATATTTGACTAATTACTACAGAATTTTAATTATGTATAATTTGATAAAATATATGATCGTCTAAACCATTTTTCAAACAAATTTTCAAATTTTGCTGTGAATAAATCTTTAAATAACTTGATAGTCATTAATCTTTCCGCCAACGACCATACCACGTTGAATACACCAGTTCTCGTCCGATCACTGAAGTTAAGCAACGTCGGGCGTAGTTAGTACTTGGATGGGTGACCGCTTGGGAACACTACGTGCCGTTGGCATTTTTTTGCCTATTTTTTTCTCTATTAATTCTTTCCATTTTTTCTCCGACAAAAGTGAAAACCACATAGTATCTACCAAATAAAAATTACGTAAAACTCATAAGGTATTTGTCATAAGTCATCTTTCAAAATTTCAAGTTTTTAAGAATATTTTTAACGGAAAAACAACAAAAGAACAAAATTGAAAATTATAAATATTTAAATAAAAGTATTATTTTCGTAAATTTTCCCGTTCTTTTTACGTTTTTTTCCTAATAATTAAAAAAAACTACAGAGAAAATCTAACCTACTCATCAACAAAATTAAAAATGTAACAAAAAAAAAGATCTCTTGTCATTTTTCTATTAGAGTCAATATTTCTTGACTTAACTTAGACTTGGCCATACCAAAATCCATAACACATAATAACCTATATAATAAAAAACAATTAGATAATTTACAAAACATATTATTATAACCGTAAGAAATTGACGCAGCACAAAAGCAATATAATCAAATAAACGATTGGATTCAACATTGTGGATCAAGGACTCATAGAATTAGAGCCATATAGACGAAGGCGTCATAGAACGTCTGGTTGAAGAGAAACTCACTAAAATGTGGGACTGGTTCGTAGGTTTTGGATATCAGTCCTACTTGCCACTTGTCATATTTCGCGTTCGGAAATTATTAACTATGTACGTCTAAATTCAATATTAAATATGTCCATACTATATCAAACTTTTGGATAAAGCTTTATCCAAAGATCTAAGATCTAAGGTTTTAGCTGGTATATTTTTTGGTTTAACGCAATGTGTTATGCACAAAGCGCACAATAAAAAACAAATATATGAAATTCAAACCGAAATAAAATTTACCAACCACAGTCCGAAATTCATCATTTGATGATACCAATCCAAATATACCAATCCGAACTTCGTAAAATATACCCATCATTATTAAATTTATATCGTCCTTCGAATAATATGTATAACAACGAATAAAAAAGCAACAATGTTACCATGTATACCAATGGTATACACAGAAATCGAACACAACAAAAACATTTTTTAGTAACAATACGAAACATCAACCAATTTACCGATCATACACACACAGAAGCGTACAATATGGCGAATTCCGTCAATAAAACACATTTTATGCACGTAGTGTTATTTATCGAACTTTACCTACCCGTACCCGATTGACTATTATTAAAAACCGACCCATACTATCGTAACATTCCGTACTTACACCTATACTGACGTAAACCTATATAAACACGGCGTGCCTGCATATTTTATATACACAAATAAGTGCTAAGGTATATATAGGTATATACCTAAATTCACGGAAATAAATCCCTCGAGCATTTGTCACTAACACTCCTATAGTTTGAAGCGATAGCTATCGTACAAGTCGTTTTATCAAACAAAATTGTCACAAATACCTCATAGAAATCTGTGAATTTATTGTCTGAATTTTCCAATAACTGCATGAAAAACGCGTAACGTCAGTATAACAGAACAATTTACGAACTAAAAATTCGACCCGCGCAAACAATAAAAATTAAATTTCGCTACAATACATCTCTACAATCCATGTTACAAATCTCGTAATTCATTGTGTATGTCAATTTGATATACAGCTTTTTGACATAGAATTTGAACAATCTGTAATTTAAATTTCATTATTGGTGTAAGCATATTGACTAAATTGTTTATTTTTGTTAATATAAATTATTGAAGCTATTTTGGAGACCTGCATTTTTGAAAATTGTTGGTATTTACAGATTTAATAGAGTTAACCTTTATAATGTCGGCGCGTGATCCCGTGGCCTGTGTTGACGCATAATGAAATCCGCGCGGTCACTGCCATTCATACAGATAATGCGTCGTTTTAATACTATATTAATAATAATACGAACACCAATACAACATAAACGCGTACTTAGATATGTAGGTATTGTAGATATACGAATCGACAATACACACACAAACACTCACACAGATATACAAATATATGTAGGTACATTGTACATACATTACATACCCTCGTGTTTAAAAACATACCTACCCTTTTACTTTCATTCGTTTTTCCTTTCATTCTACTACCTTATCCTGCTACTACCCCTTCCTTTATTTTCTCTTTTTTGTTACAACATTGTACAACAAAAAATTATCCATTTATTATAAACCATCAAACAATACTAACAAGAAAAACAGTGTGTCGAATGCATACAATCATTTGTTTTGCAAACTTTTTCTCTATTTATGTAAAACCGTGCAGACTCGTTATCAAAAAATTCCGAATGCAGTTTAAAATACAATTTTTAATTTTTTTCTTTCTTGTATGCCAATCATGGAAACGTGATCACTTTAAAAACTTAAATGCAATTAATTGTAATACAGGGTCCGACAAAAGAACCTCCTGTATTTCAAAAGGCAGTTACAAATAAACAAACATAGGTAGGTACAAAAAAAATGATTCCATTTTTGAATTACAAATACTATTTTACATTATATAAAATAATTACTTCGTTTTAAACATTATGCCTGTTAAATGGCGTCTTTCATTATTGATACATTGACGAAGCTTTTCCCGAAAGTTGTCCCTATTTGTTCGTATCATTTCCGGTGTAATGGCATCCACTGGCCTGGGTGAATGCCTTCTTAAGTGTTTGCAGGATTGTACGACTATGACTGTAAACTAGCGCCTTTAAATATTCCCAGAGAAAATAATTACAAGGTGATAAATCGGGTGACTTCGGACCCAGGTGATGTCTCTTAGCAAAGACAGACGTCCAGCAAACAACTCTCTCAAAATTGCTAGTGAATGCCATGAAGTGTAATACCGTCTTGTTGGAACCAGACTTCTCGCTCTTCGTGGCAGTGGCGTAGCGAATTCAAATATTTTCAAAGGCGAAATATATTTTTCGATACCCATCAACCCACCTATCCATAGGTACATGACCCACACATCGATTATTATTTTTGAACATTGAACACTGGGTTTTTATCTTTTTCAAAAAATGCCCTATAAAAAAGCATTTATGGGAGTGGAAGATTGCCTCTTGCATTTAATTTTAAACCATAGAGATAATTATAAGATAAATTCAAATAACACGAAATGTGACATTATTTTTTAAAAGATTACTGTTTCTTTAATAGGGTTCAGTTGTACAATAATTAAAATATCAATTACCATAAATTCTGCATTAAGAGATCTGAAGACTGCGAACATGTCAATTGCTTTATTACGATAAATTTCAACATTTTTTTCAGAGCTAATATAAGTAGACTTTCGGTAAATAGGGTGGTTCCTATAGTTCACGGCGCGAAACGGAACAACAAAAGAAGAGTTGGACCTAGTGGGATTTGTTGGGACCTTAAAATTAATTTGAGAAAAGAGAGCTGAAGCATCCACACGTCCGTCAATGACGGATGCTGCTTATGCAAAAACATCAAATTAGCTTCCACTCTTTTATTTGATAGAGATATAAGATAGTGCTTATTGATTACTGGACCATAATTGTGTGGAGGGTGGGGAATTTTTTAAATGAAAGCTACAGAAGAGCTAAAACATCAATATAATATATAATAATATTATTACATTGGTATACAAATATACGGTTTATCTACATAAATTGTATTTTTCCATACATTTTTTATTTTGTTTAATTTATCTATAATAAATCAACAACATAAGAATAATCTATAAAAATCGTTCGTTAAATAAAACGATATTTTTCGTAATTATATAGCACTCGCCGTTTATAATCTATCGTTCACCCCTTAAAAAAAAGGTGTGACCGCTGTTATAGCGTATTCGGCGCCACTAATAAAATATATTATATTACACAATAATGATGTTGTCGAACATTATTGTTTTTATTATTTCGCTTCCTGCTACGATGACATCGTTACAACATTATTTTAATGGTTGTATTACTTTTCGCTACGATAAAAAAAAAGCTCTTCCCCATGAACAGCTGAGTTCTTCATTACTAGAAAGTCTAATTTGATTTTTTGTGTGTATTTAAAAATTATTCTTCGATTAAAACAGTAGCCCGCGCTAACAAATATCGTCTCACTACGATTTGTAACAGTATAGGTACCCTCGGCGAATCTCAATACAGATCTTACAGATTTCAAGCGAAGCGAGGAATACATTATTCTTTTATCCCAGAGAAGAAGAGTTAATTTTCGGAATTTTGTTTTACGATTTTTCTTAAATCACTGTGAATTTGTGATGTACTTTTCCTTTGGTAAAAAAGGCCTAAGCCATGTTATTATATGATTTAAGGCATTTTGTAATTTAGAAATTTAGCTATTATGTTGTTTTTTATATTACTAATATTTTTGAAATTGAATTCGAATTGTTATTTTTCTTGTCTGTAAACAACTTTGTTTTTATCCGAAATCTTGCTTCAATTATTAACATTAATGCCCGTATGCATAGTCCCGATCTTATGTGTTACATTGCTTATCGTTGCTTATGCTGCATCGTTGCTTAAATGACCCATAGCTGATTGGCCCATAACCTATTTATTTATTTTTTAAACGGACCTTCCATATTTCCAAGATATCATCTAGGTATATTGTCATCTATATAAATTTCAATTTTCAAAGTTAATTTTTTGTAGTTTTCTCAATAATTGAGAAAAACCGAGAAAACGTCAGAAAAACGAGACTATTTACGCAATAACGGTTTCGTTAGTTAGGATTTTTTTATTGTTGTAATTTTGTGAAGAATAATCGTAGTGATTTTTTCCAGCGTTTTTCTAGTTATTAATATAACTAATTCAAAATATAAAAACATGTGTTAGTAATGCGAGTTATGCAATATGCGCGTAAAAATGGTTGGTACGTTTTACACGAACAATTAATAGTTGCGGTTATTATTATATTATTCCGCGGTCACAAAATATTAATATGCGATCGCGTTCAGTTCAAACCGATCGAATACCGGCTGCGTCTAGGGCACACCTTTGGCGACGTTTCGCGCGTTCGCTGCGGATATTTCGAGAATCCGACCAGGACCGCGCACTATATAATTTTGTACGCGGATAAATATTTTGGCGGCATTTTACGACGTGTGGGTTTTTTGCGGTCACGACGACGCGGTTAAACGTAATGAATATGCCCTCGTTTTAGTACGGCCGAAACGGCGGCGGAGATTTATAACGAGATTGTGCCGTTACGTTCTCAAGAATGACACCCCGAGTAGGTAGGTATATAATATACACATCCGCGGGTTTTATGCGTGCGCGAACCCTCCGGAACCTCGAAGACACTATATATACACACACTTAGGTACCCCGGTGAAATTTATTATGTTTTTCCGCGCGAAAACGGTCGGCGGCGCCTGGAAGGTCCGCGCAGCCGTTGGGTCGTCCCGGTGAATTATTATTATTATTATTGCGTTGCGGGACGTCGGTGGCGGCGGCGGCGGCGTCGTGGCGGTGAAGACGACAGGCGTTTTCGGCATTTCACGTATTTATTGCGGGATCCGACGGGAAAAACTCGTACTCGCGCTATCATAATATATACGTTTTCTTGTCTCCTGCACAGTGGAGTGCGGTCCAGGAGGGAAACGTCGAGTTTGGAAATTGTGTGTAATAGAAAAAAAAAAAAGGATCAATTTTAGATTCTCGGCGGAGCGAGGAACCTATTGGTTTTACGACGACATGTTTATTAATTTTCTTTTTCCGTGAACAACTTTTATACCAGATATTTTGATCCGATTTTCAAAGCTGCGTGTCGCTGTCGTCCCCGGGTCAGAAGTACTACTCGAAACCGGTACAAAAATTTGTTATGTAATTTGTACAAATTTGTAACATTAACCCAGAAATGTTTACAACCCACCTAATAGTTGAAAAACGTGTTTTTTGTCACGAACACCAGCGACACGTGTCGCCAGCGTCCGTATTTCTTACGTTTTTGTCGTAGAGATTCGAAACCGGTACCAAAATTTGTTATATGATTTGTACAAATTTGTAACTGCAACCCTGAAATTTGAACAACTCTCTCCTCTCAAGTGTGATCAAATCAAGTTTTGGTTTGACTAGACGCGATAAATTTGATGTTATGTACGTCTATAAGTATCTAATATAATATAGCTTATGTGTTCTCAATTCTGTGTATCAGTGTTGAAAAAAAAAAATTTTTTTTTTTATTATTAATATGATATCATGGATTATAAAAGTAATTATTTCTTTTCTATTAAGTATCTATTTATTAATTATTATTTATTTTCCGCATTTCTTAGTTTATTTCGTAGAGACTCGAAACCGGTACCAAAAGAAGAGCGTTTGTGAAGTGCATTTGTTCTTTGGAAAATTTCTCAATAGTTTTTAAGACATTTAAATCCGGACTCTAGTAATTATTATAAGTTTATTTACTGTTCACATATTAATCTCGTAAAATAAAATATCGTCTTGGCGATGCCGCTCACCAGTACTTTTTATTGTATTTCCTTTTATATTCTGAGTGGAATGCAGAATTTAATGGTTTTATAATGATGTTTATTTTTTTGCTTACAACTTTTCTACCAGAAATTTTGTTCCGATTTTCAAGTATAGTACTTTTTCTGAAAATAAATCTGATTGTACTGATGGTACTTTATAAAGGTCATTTTTTAATTTTCTCAGGGGTTTTCATAATAAACGGGAAAATTTACGTAATGTATTATTTTCAAATCGTAAATATGACGGTCTTTTAAAACAATGTAACCGAATCTCTCTCAGAATCGTTTTTCGTCAACAATGATTAATCGTTGTGTATACAGATATACATTAAAGGCTGCAGTGTAGAACACCGTTAAATATGGGGGAGGGGGGGTTGGCGCAACAAAATCAATTTTTTTCAAACTTGTATCTCTACAAATCAGTCACCAGAATAGCCAGATCTTTTTTGTGGAGTATTTTTGAGGATTCGATGGCTGATTGGATTAAAAAAAAAACAAGACATCACCAAATCAATCAATTATCAGGCCCTGTAACTAAGAAATAATGGCTTGTTTTATATACAATTTTAAAATTTATCGTATTCGGTAAAATTTCACGGCATTCGTCGTCGGAACCGAACGGAATTTTAAACTCGTTAGAACGGTTATATTCGTGCGTGTTTCGACGTCTATAATATTATACGCACGTAAACCAAACGCAAGTAATTGCCGAATACTATGTATTTACTGCGAATATTTTTTTATTTATTTAAATTTTTTATTTTCGATTCAAATACATTTTATCACGGTGTTTTTTTTTTGGTATACGATATAAAATACAAAAGCAGATGAACGAATTCGCGGCCTGACAACAAACGATAATAATATTTACGCGGATATTTTTACACCGGATGTATTCGCATACCGTTTGGTCGATCGCGAACCGCACGAATTCTTCTGGGATACCGAAAACGAGGTTATATAGGTACAGGTAGATAGGTATATAAAGCACAAAAACGGACGGACATTATTACGATTTATACGTTCCGTTCGCCGTCGTAATATCATGGTATAAAACTAAAAAAAATAAAACGATAACCGCTGTTTATTCCGTATTCGACAGTGATGCCTGAGTGTTTTTTTTTTTTTATTTCGTTTTCTTAAAACCGTTCATGCAGTGCCTCTATAATATATATTATATATACATCCTCGTATATACATGCGTATAAAACGGAAACGAACCGGGAAATTCAATTACCTTCCCGTCGTCGTCGGGAAACAGGTGCGGACGTATTTTCTCACCGTGGCGTGCGCACATCATATATTATATAGGTACCCTACCTATACATACGTAATCCGGTAAAGAAATTTATTTGTTTCCTCGGCGAAAACTACGAGCCAATTTACGGGTTAACATATGTAAAAAGGCTTTCGTTACCCATATATAATGTACACTCGTATATATTGTTACTGTGCTGCGAATTCCCAAGATCGTGTTCACCGAATACATGTTATTGCGTAAAACGGGCGCGATACTGTATGCGTTGATTCGATAATGACGTCGCTGCAGGTCCTCTCTACAAAAGTCTCTGAAAAATCCCGTCGCCCGGAGATTTCATCGGGAGTTATGCTGTTTTAATTCGCACCGAAATAACCATAGTATACGTCATGGGCGCTCTCACGAGAGGTGTGATGGGGGGATGGGTCCCCGTATGGACTTTTTTTTTTTAGGTAATATGGAGTTTCCTGTTTTACTGATATTAAATGACAATAATCAAATAATTAAATATAATCCATACAATTTTTTTTGACTCGTTATCATTTTCCACGATATTCGTACATAGATTACAGACCACGCATGATTACAGACTGACATATTGTTGACACTATCTGTGATTAAAGATTAATATAATTTTGTAAATTCAACATTTTAATCAAACATATAATGTGTTATAATTTAATGTAAGTTGTTTTTATATAAGAAAGATTACTTTTTAATCAATTTTCATACCAACCCCCCAATAAAAATATCCTGAAAACATCTCTTATGGAATAATTATATCGTGTAACTTGCAAAGCGGTCAAACATAGCGTTTGTAATTTGCATCGAAACCGCTATCTGTATTACACATGATGATTATCATTGAGTATTCAGTTATTTCGACGGTATCAATAATGCGTGTGTATTATTTCCGATTTATCCATCATATACTCGGAATCAATGTGACCTCGATTTGAATGTTTTAAATATAATTGTATACATATAGTATTTAATTTTTTAATTTTTGAGAAATTTAATTAACGCGTTAATTGAATGTTCACGAATTCGCTCATTCCCTGTTAAACAAATACTACAATTTTTTAAGCGCGCCTGTTAAATGTGCAAATCAAAAATTGTCTAAAAATTAAAAACAAAATAAATGTCTTATTCGCTTGTAGAAATGCGCGATACGGAATTTTAACAAAATGAGCGCCGTACAGCGAGCTTATTATAAGTGCCGTTGAAAAACGGTTATCTTATAATTTTTATACAATATACGAGCGCCGCACATTTTTGAAAACGTTTAACAACGATGCCGGCCGTGAAATATTGAAAAATTCGTAACGTATAAAGAAGCAAGTAAATTATTATTCGATGTGAAAAAAACGAAAAACGAACACAATAGGTAGGCGCATATTATTATACAAGTACGAGCGAATTACACCGAACACAATATTAGTTATATTGCTCGTTCTTATATTATTATACCGTAACGAGGCTGCGCTTATTTACGTTTAAAGTCAAAGAGGAATAATTTATTATAATCTCAACGTCGCTGCCGGTCGCTGTGTGAAGAAAACATAAACGCGCAGTTAAAACCGTGGAAAACAATTATATATATATGTATATATATATATATATATAGGATATACAATTATAAATGGATAAGTATACTGCAGAAAAAGCGTAAAAAACTGGCATCATTCACGACTCTGTTATAATAATAATAATAACAACACGAAATAGCGTCATTTTTGCAATAGCGAAAAAACTGTTTTTTTTTTTTCTAAATTTTTTTCCGGTAAAGTAAACATCAGCTCGTTCGCCCCCGGGCCGTCGGGCTTTCCGTACGATATTATAATGTATATTGTCGTTTTGTCCTCGCCAAAATTGGACCGTTTCCCGAGCGTCCCGTTAAATTTACAATTCATTAAATTTGAATTGTTATAAAAGCCCTCTATTGTGTGAAATATATATTATTATAAAACGCGATATAAACTTCAATAATTGAATGGCGCGTTGTGTGATTGTTTATATAATAACGTTTTATATAATAAAATTATATGTACACATATATATATATATATATATTTATGTTTGTTTTTGCGAAACGATACCGCGCGTTTGTGCGAATTTCATTCGGTAATTGAAACTAAAAAAAACACAGTTATATCGGCGGCCCTACCAACGTAACACCGCGGCAGTCGATGTATTGTGTTGGCGGCGATAGATTTATAAAATTGTCGGCGCACGGTTCTACATTTTTTTTGTTTACAATTTGCCAGTCTCTCGGTTGGTAGTGGCGGTTTTTATTGGGAGTGTGTGAGGGGGGGGGTGATGGGAGCGATCACACGGCAAACCATTGCTAACGAAAATTCGATTCTGCAGAGAGGAGTTCAGTTAATTGTGATGCTTTGTCAACAATATTTATGTCCTATTATGGTAAAATAATTAAATAAGCAATATATATTTTCTTTAAAAACATTTGTTTAATATTGTACCGATTTTCCCACGTTTTTCCTGGTTTTTCACATTTTCTGGGAAAACTGCTGGGAAAATCGAAAAATTACCTCCCTAAAATACCTCCCCAGTTAGATTTTCTTTTAGAAAAAGTGATATTGTAAATCGGAGCAAAATGCTGGTAAAAAAGTTTCTTTCACAGAAAAAAAAATCGTAATATTTTACTAATATATTTCATACATTTTCCAGTTTTTTTTTGTTTTTCACATTCGTTAAAAAAACATCAGAAAAAATTGAAAAATGACCTCCTTAGAGTACCTCCCTCCCTCCCAACAAAATTTCTTTTCAGAAAAGTCGCTACATCGTATACATTGGAGCAAGATCTCTGGTAGAAAAGTTGTTCACAGATAAAACAGTTGTAAATCCATAAGATTCTTTGCTCAACTCAGAATATAAAATGAGTTATGCGTAACTTATTATAGCACCATAAACAAATGTTATCCTTTATTTGATATATGTTATTGTGGTATGGGGTCTAACAAAATTAAAATCGCCTCCCCCGGTAAAGGGGACCGTTCGCGCATTTCTTTCTTTGCGGTCGTTCAATCCTTTCATCACGCTGGATCGATCCTCGGAGCGACCCGGTTTTGACCTCAGACGTCAGTACGGGAATATAAGGTGTTGTACAGGGTTAGTTGAGATCGCCGGGTCGGATCACCGACCGTACGCCCTAGTATTTGTCCCAAGCGCTGATTTTACTGAGTGGGTCATGCAGTGGGTTCAGGTGCACAAACGCTAAACACATAACACGTTCGGGCATCTCACAGATGTATAAAAATATACAGCCCACTGGGAAGTTCAAAATTTATAACTTAGTATATTTCGAATCGATAAAGAAGTTGCAAAATATCAATCTCTAATTGGACTGGGTAGCAGTATAGTATTATTTATCCGGAACCGCTTTTCGTTTGTAAATCTTTGTCGTCGCATACAGTATACGTGCATAAACTAAATTACACTGTATAATATTAAATATCTTCCCGATTACCCATCTACGCAACAGCTAGTGGCCTACCCGTGAGCTGTATCGATTTTTTTAAGTTTTTATGTACCGGATAATCAAATCTGGGCAATAACTTGTGTAGTTAAATTCATCAATAATAATTTTTCAAAATCATAGAATAATTTTAAAAAATATTTAAATAACAACAGTGATATTATCAATAAAATTAGTATTATATATTGAGCAAAAACTTTTATTATGTCCATAAAATTGTTTGCTAAAATCGTCTGACTTTTATAAAGTCTTAATTAAGAAACCAAACTTTTATATAAAAAAAAAAAACACAAAACTTGTTTAGTGCAAAGTTGTTTTTATTGGTCGATATCACAAATGCGTATAAAAAAAAGTTATTATTGGTTTAAAATAGGATAATTTCATGTTTTTCAAACTAGGAACTTTTTTTGTAGTGTAAATAGTTTTTGAGTGTAAATATCGAAACAAATAAAAACAATAGCTTAGTGCAGGCAGGTACAGTAAGAGAATATTGAAAACACTTTTCGAGGTTTTTTTTTCCCATAAGCATTTTATAGTTCATTTCACTACAAATTTAAATATATTTTTCGAATCAATAAATTTTCGATTTTTTTTTCAAAAATTTATCGCTGTGAGTTTCAAGTTTACGACTACCTGAATTGCGTGTTTAAATTTTTACCGAAACGATCGCTTGAAAAAAAAAAAAATAAAAAAAAAATCATACGTTTTGTCACCGTAACGCAGAAATATTATATTCGGCAATATTTCGAAATGCCGCAGTAATAATATTTCTCAAAGGCATAAAATAATATATTATTGTTATTTTTTTCACGCCGTTGAAAGTAAAAATCAATATAATACGTAAAAAAATATAAAGCGCGTATCGAAATAACAGCCGCGTGTTGTATTCTCGTCCGAGAAAAGGTTGTTTGCGTTTTCTGGGTCGTATACTGTATAGTACAAACAACTAAAACCCGTACACCTACTTAAACAATATTGTTACTATACGGTCGTAAAAATATGAAAAAAAAAAAAAAATAAATAATAATAATAAAAACACTCTGAAATTAATACACCTGCAAAAAATAATCGGTCGAGATCGTGCGGGTTAATTGCAGTTTCTTATAAAAAAAATTTATCGATCGGTTATGTAATTTTTATGAGCGAACTTTTTTACCGTTATACACTATTATTACATTAAATAGAGCGGCTTAACACACGTTTTATAGTTTTTTTTTTTTTTACATCGATTTTGTCCTTAAATGTCAATATACAGGCACCTATAGCTAGGTATAGTGCAATATGTTCGGCTTTAAAGAATAGAACACGTGAACTAGTACCCTTTTGATATTTACCCGTTCCGCCTGCCAGCGGATATACTATTACAAATTATATTATCTAGATACTGCCTGTATGCCATTAAGTACGTCATTTTCTACGTATCGTTATGTATATATAAAAAAAATATTTGTTTGAAAATATACGAATTTCATATCGTACCTCTAATATATTTATGAAAGTTAGTGTTAAGATGACGTTATACCTGCGCGTGCTTTCTCCGTCTTGAAAAACGTACGACTTGGCGAATTTGGGTTCGGTAGTGACCGATGTGTGTCGTTAGTTTTAATATTGAAGCGAAATTGACCTATCCATCGAACTTAAAGCCGAGAAAATTATCTATGTATATTTCTGGTGCTATTTTAGATTCTGAGTGTAGCGAAGAATGTATTAGTTTTACAAAGATGTTAATTTTTTTTATTTTTGTATGCTGTGTACAAAAATTTTGCTAGAAATCTTGCTTTCTGAAAGGAATTTTCCTGAAGTGGTCCTGAATAAGTCCTTTAAATATTTAAGCGAAATGACCTGTAATCAGAATTAAAGATAAGACTATGTGCAACTATTCTGATTTTTCTCTCTTGATATTTTGATTTTCAAGAGTATGATGCAAAAATATATCCCAGATTAAAAGCGTTTATATAATCGATAATATTACGTGTAGGTGTATTCATAAATTGTGTAAAGATTCGAAACGAACACGGTGTCGGGCTTATTACGGTGTAATCGGTAACACAAAAAAGTATTTCGCACCGACGCCGAGCTAATCCCGAAATTAATCCGTAATTCCCCGAACGAAACGTGTGGACTTTATATTGAAACGCCTAAGTAATAAATTAAAAAATAAGTAGACGTTTTGCAGCAGGTGGTTTAACTGTCGCGGGGTGTGATTTAACGTATGTACAAAGCGTTTTTGTATTTTGTTAGAGAAAAAAAATCGTTTCGTTTAATCGGATTTAAGAAACGTTCAACGTATTATTTTTTTTTATACTCTTTTAAATTTATAGAGAAATTTAAATTCTTACTATTCTAACTTCTATACTTTTGTAATACTTCGTGTAATTTTTCACTATTGGATAATGACCTTTATTATTTAAAAATACATAGTATCATAAAAAAAAAAATTAAACGTACATGAAATATGAAATAATGTGATTTTTTTATATAAATATATTTTCATAGAAAAATATCAACTTATAATTTATAATTTTTTTGTTAATAATTTTACAAGCAAAAGAAATATAGAAAATTCGAGTATATTGTTCTTTTTCCATAAAGATTAAAATATACGTACTTCGTGAGTGTATTATAAAAAATAAGGAGAAGAAAAATGATCTTAGTATAAGCTTCTTTCATTGTTTTTTTGTTGTTTTTAAACTAATTAATAAATAAAAAAAAAAAAAACGGAAAACAGATAAACTTCACATAATATATCTGGGGATCACTGGTATAGTGCAGCAGTTTTCAACCATACTATTGTTACGTAGAAAGCTCATAGTACGCGAAGGAAATTTTGTTTTTTATAAAAAAATTAATTCATCGTTGAAAATAATATAAAACTGAAAGATATCAATGTGGAGCGCGATGTCGTTGACGTCCTAATCGATTCGAAATTAGGCGCAAAAGTTTTGATACAAAATATTCCTATCATATAATCATTATCATAATAATTCTACTTCGGACAATTTTCAAATTAGATTTTCTATTTGATTTTACTTATTGAGCAATAAATAATTTACATTTGCATTATTACCTACCTACAGTCGTAGTTTCAGATTAACGCTAATTAATTAGAAGTAATAATTTCCAATACATATAACATATATTTTAAAAAATGCGTACATTTTTCGACAACCAATGCGGTACGTGCAAATTTATGAAATTTGTAGACAATACTTATTGGATACGAAAAGGCGAGAACCAGTGGTGTATTTAGGATTTCACTGAGCAGAAGATATTGAATTTTGTTACTGTGTCATATTATATAACGACTATAACGTGCACCTGGTAGATACCTAGTCTAAACAAAGATCAATTATTAGTTTGTGTAAGTAATTAATAAATAAAAAAAAAATGCCATACAATTTTTATTGAAATTAAATAACTAGTTTAGGTTCTAACTTCTAACCTCCTTCATATTTGCAGGATTATAGGTTTAGATATAATTTTGATAGGTTTCGTTGTAAATAAGTAAATGTTCAGGTAAGTACGTTTAGGTTTCTTTATATATTAACTATAAAAGTACCCACCTATACGATTTGAAAATGTAAAAATTAAAAAAAAAAAATTAGGTAAGTAGTTATAAAAGATATGAAATATAAATAGTAGACACTACAAAATACTCAAGTGGGTTGTATAACTTTCTATTCCCCCTCCTTTAATACGCCACTGTCCATAACGCCCGACTCGTAATTGGATTAGTTTATTAAAACCGCGACAAGAACTTTGTTTTTTTTACAAATTTTCAACATTATATAAACTTACTAATATTATTCGATCGATTTATTATCGTGTTTAACAATAATAACGCAAAACCTTCCCCTTATACAGGTTATTATTAATAATTTATAATAAACTAAAAATTAATTATAAAAACTAGTGTTTTAATAACATAGATAGTTTATACAGTGTTTAAACTTTTTTTTTTTTTAAATGTCAGATAATAATTATATATTATACTTGTATAATTTGATCGACAGCGCGTTAAACGATTATTATTATTCACACAATATTATAATAATGTAAAAACTTTAGTGTTTTTGATTATAGGTACGAGAAGTTATTTGTCAGTTTAATAAACTCAAAAACACGTTATGACGACGGCCACACAGTCTTTTCCTTTTTTTTTTTATAGAATACGGTTAAGAAATATTATAAATGATGCAGACAGGTAGTGTTTGTTTCAAAGCATTTTCGTCAGACATGTCGTAGTCGTTTCATTTAAATTAAAGCGTACCATATTGTATATAATAGATAACGTTTAACATCCAGTTTTAGCCATTTTGGGTGATACGTCGTAAAGGCTTACTATGGGCGACGGACGTACACTCTATATCATTATAAATTGCATGTCAACAGTGACTTTTTTCATTTTCCTTTCAATTCTTTTAAACCGGAAAATAACGTATAGAAAGGAGGAATTTAATCAATACTAAAATTATATCACACTAAATTATAATACTGTTTTATGTGTTGAAGTCTAACCACGATAATTTTCCTTATTTGTTTTACTTCTCTAGATTTTGAGCGTACCGAAGATTATGTTGATTTTACTATGACGTTGCGTGATTTATATTTAAATTTATTATGGATGTTAACAACTTTCTTAACAAATGCTTTGCTCCGATCATCAATATCAGGGATATTCGTTTCTGGTAGCAATACTACTTGGTCTGAATATAGATAGCACGTTGTTGATTTTTTTTTATAGTTGTATTGATAATTGGAGTGGGAGGGTAATCGTTGGGAAAACTGAATCTTTTAGTATTTACATAATAATAATAATAATATCTGTTATTTTCGATTTTGTTTTAGATTATGAGCGTTACGAGGGACCTATTGGTTTTACTATGTTGTCTGGTTTTGGAATTTTATTTTTTATTTTTTGTGACTGTGAACACCTTTTCTACTAGAAAAATTGTTCCGAAGTATAGACTATAGCATGGGTAGATTATGCTTGCATATATAAATGCAATGATATCAAGAGCCAAAATATTTGTAAATACATTTTCTAATTTAATATAATTTGATCTAATTTGTACATTTATAACACAAAAGTAATAACGATAGGTAACAGCCTAAAATATATTATCAAATTACGTATTAATAAAATATTATTTTGTTTTGATTAGATTTCGAGTTTTCTAACGATTTCTAATACCTAAATATTAAGAACTGTGCGGTAAATTTGATATCAATTTTTGATATATTCGTGTGAATCGCTTTATTCAACAATGAAAATAATTAAGTTGAAATATCAATCAAATTTGAATGATGTTCATCTTACAAAATTACTGAGAACTGCTCTTACATGCAACCAGATCTTAAGTAGCTTACTAAAAAAACAGACACGAAAAAAATACCACGCAAACAAATTTAGCATCATCGTTTTCATTGTTTTTATTACGTTAACATGATGTTTTATACCAGAAATATTATTCCAATCCAAAAATGACAAGAAATCTTTTTTGTTCTTTTTAATATTTCACTATCGACAGAGATAGTAATTTTTTATTATTGAAGGAGTTTTTACAATAATTAGGAAAAACCAAAAAAGACGAAATATATGATTTTTTTTTAAATTACAGAACAATGATTTCATTGTTTTTAATTTTTACGGTTTATGTTTTCTATCATAAATATTTTTCCAATAGAAACATTTTTTTTTGTTGAATTTTCATTCTAGTTGGTGACCAAGAAAATCGTTTTTCGGTTTTCTTTGTAATTATTTAAAAATTGGGTAAAACTGATAAATATGTAGAAAGAAATGGAAAATGTATGAAAGTAATTATTTTATTTATTTTTATATTATTATTTATTTAAAGTTTATTTTATTTGAAAAAAAAATATTTTGTTATTTTTTTATTTTACTCACTGGGATAAGGATTACAAAAATTTATATTTCAATTAATTTTTTATGTATTGGTAAAAAACTTAGAAAAATAATTATTGATATGCCTTATCCCTATGAATAATATTTAATAAAAATAGAATTTGAGTATCTTTATTATTTTCGAAGATATTACATTGGATATATTTTCATAGGACGCTCTGTATAATACATTTTTAAATAAAACATTTGTCTGAACAATTCAGAGGTTTAATCTTATTCGTTTAAGATGAGGTAACTTTCGTCTGGTTTTGAGGTTTTTGAACTAAGTTGACTCTTGTCTGTTTTGGAAATTGAATTGCTCTTTTGGGCTTTAAAAAAAGTAAATAAAGAAATTCCTTTAATATGTATTGTGATACGTTTTATGCTTTCAAAATCAAAGGAAGATATATCAGTTTTGTAAAAAAAAAGGATGGACATATTTTTTGAACGTGGATACAGCCACTGTTGTAGGTAGGAAGGATGGGATTTTGAGAAGGTATGATACAGACGGGAATTTAATGTATATCTGTAAACAACGACAAACCATTGCTAATGAAAAAAATATTCTGAACGGAGTTCAATTGATAGTGTTGCTTTGTCAACAATATATTGTCATACTATGGTAAAATGATTACAGCAATATACGTTTCCACGACAACAATGATTGTTTAAAAAAGATTAAAATAATAAAAAATTTCACGTGATATTCGTCCATTATTTTAGAAATATTTGATCCTCGTAGACCAATTATCCTTAAGCGTACACGAGAATCAATGATAGTGAATATTTTCTAAGAAAATATGTAATGAAATAAGTAATGATTACGGTTTATAATTATAAATTCACATTTAAGAATTAAATGATCTATACAAATTATATTTTGAAAATTGTTAAAAAAGTTTAAAGAAATATTCTGAAATCAACTCACAATAATTTGCTTGTTATGGATTATTTTGTAATAAACCATCTTTGAGTTATTTTCTCGTGGCTGTAGTGAATTTAAACATTTTGAACTCATCATATAACCACCTATAAAAATGGCAAACACACCATCAGCTCTTTTTTAAAAATGTTTGTCGTCTCATTTTATGTTGTATATACGATCAGGTAGGTATTCTATTTAACCGTAAACGAGATTAACTATTAATAATTATTGATGACCGTTAACTATTTTAAATTATCAATGATTGTTATTATTTACTCATCAATATGTTTTTACAAATTTGTTATGGATAATCGTAATTATTATTATTACCTACCCCGAGTAACTATACTATCGTTTATAACAGATTTCGTAACAACACGTTTTATTAATTGACATGACAGATTATAATATTATAATTGAATAATAATTTTTGCCTTCGTATAACAATAACATTGTATAGGTAGTAAACTTAATATCAACATTTTCGAAATAATCGAATTATTTGATTTCATTATTTATCGGTAATAGATATCGCGTGCGCGTCGTTGGTGTAAATACATTTTTATTAAAATGTAGAAAATCGGTTTTTCAACCGCCGTCTGTCAAATAATCGTACGCCGCCGTTGGTTTATTAAAATGAACGAGAAACAATATATCACTCGATTGTACCACCACGGTTAAAATAAAACACGTTTTAGTACACATTTTTATGAAATGGCATACTGCGAAATAACAATTTTGCTGTACCTCCGTCAAATTCGACATAACAAGAGAATGAAACACTGCTTGTACGTGGGCAGTGTAAGTTCTACTTAGGTTTTTTCCCCCCGTTTTACTCGTATACAATTGTGGTATTTATTTATCATTGTATTATTTTCGAGATTGTATGCAGCCACGATCGACGGAGTAGACGACTAAACGGAAATGGTATGAGGATTGAGGAGACGTGAAAGTGGACAATGTAACCGTATATAGCTGACTTTGTACTTTCGTGCGGGATAAAACCGAAATGGAAGCAGTTGTGCGTATTTTGCACACGGGATCACGAATCATAAACATTGTGGATTTATACAGAGCTTTTCAATAAGATTTGATAAATATATACAATAGGTATAACTTAAAAACTCGTGTCGTATGGTAACTTATGCCCAATATGGTGTCTTATATATCCGTAGAAAAGGCATTATTAAAGTATATGCGGACGAAGCCACAGATTATTACAGTTACCTAAAAGGTAAAAAAGGTATAAAAGGCTTATATGAGTAAGTTCGTCGCTCTTAACATGATACCATTTTGGTTAGGGTTCTTAGTGTCACAATACCACAATATTATTAAATAGATATAGTCTGGTACAGATGTCGTGTTTGTTGGATTATTGTGGCTGATTGCGGTTTAATGCAGTGATAAATTGTGTTTTACGAGTTCTTATTTTTGAAATCAAAAGTGGCATTATTGTAATTACATATTATGTATAACATAGGTACCTTGTTCTTGTGATGAACGATAACATTTTTAATAATATTTTCATTATTTATGCTGTTATAAATATACGATTACCCTATTCAGTAATTAATTTCGTAAACTTGGTTTTTATAGACAAACGTTTGACGGTTAAACATTATGTGCCGATAATGTTTGTTGTTTGTTTTTTATCGTATTTGTGAAAATATCAATTGATTTTATCTTTTTAACGTTAGTAGAACCCAAATTACAATGCAAAGTACATTTTTCCGGGGGGGGGGGGGGGATCTGAGACAATGCTTTCCAAATACTTGTAAAGCACTTAGTATGTACATAAGAATATATTACTTATACTTATAATTCGATTCATGTAACAAATATTTAAAAAATAGAATTTTTATTTTGTTAATTTAGTATATATATACCATAATATGAATTAATTGTTAAATAAAAAAATTTAAGCGATACAAAATATTGCCTCATACAATTTATTTTAATAGGTTTTTTACGTATTATATTTAAAAATATATTTTCAATCGTTCTGTTTATAATTTCGATAATAACTTAAAATTTTATGTTGCTATGACCCATCACCCGGGATCGATCAAATAATGAAATAATTATTAATTGTACTAAATAGAAATTTTTTATTAAGTATTTATTACTGTTTTCCTTTTTTAGAGCAATTTTTATCATTTAAATTCACACCCTAATCATATTTACTATATTTACAGTTGATATTTACGGCTGATGATATCAACTAATCCGAGATACGATTGTTGCCTGAACGTTTTTAACTATCAGAAATGTGTACGGTGTGTGACTTATTTTGTATATAATTGTAAATTATTATCCTTTGACAAAACGACATTACGTGCGGTCTGCAAATAGATCCGTACGGAACGGATCTAAACGCGTGCGGGTCATGAATAACAGTACCACACTGCGGCGATGGTGGTGACGGTAAAATAATTTGTCGCTTCATTTTACAGCAGTTAGTACGAGTCGTATACATAAGTTCTCATGGTCGATTTTAGTCAGCTAAACGACAAAAACAAAAACCACTCAACGCATCATTATAGAGGTAAATTTCTGTATTATATGGCGACTTGAATTCGATAAAAAAAATATTATAGATAGACAGTGTAGGTAGACTCAAGTGGATAAAACTGCAAAATCCCCAACATTATATTATATTATGTTGGAGATCTTTATTGTGAATATTTTTTCTGTTTTTGTATCGTTGTCTATAGCCTTTTGTATTATATTATAAAAAAAAAAAAAGTCATCCAGTAACATAAAATACCTAAAATAACATAATTCTATAATATATGTTATAAAAATCATAAAACTCGTTAGACGTATTAACTACTATTATCTATATCTACTCTTATACTATATTTAATGGAATTTTTAAATTGAATTTCAGCAAGTCTACTCGCAACTTTCTGTATTTGAAAAAAATACATTTCATGTTTCGTTCAATTTGTATTATATTTATAATCATAAATTATTAATATATTATTCTATTGTATATTGTCCTGGTTTCCTGCTAAGACCTAACTAGACAAACTGTAACTACAAAAATTGTATTGTTTGGGCAAATTAGTTTTTCGTTTTCTTTGTTTATGTCACCTTGAAATCATTAATTCTCACCATTTTTGAATTTATTATTTATCATACGTCCATTACGCATTCAAAATATCGTAGAATATTTTATGTTGTACTTAATCAATTATTTTTATCTTTTCTTCTTTATTTTTAAGGGGGCGCTTTATTCGAATTTATTGTTTCAGTCTAATCAAAGGGCAGCATAACAATACAGCAAAATTACATTACTTAGAAAATAAGCTGTAGTGTTCAGGTAAAACATAGAGTTTAATTACTTATAGCACAATTTAAAGGTAATAATATTTAAAAAAAAAAAAAAAAATTGATCACGAGATCATAGTTTTTAAAGGCTCGTCCATTAAGTCTTTCAAGTTATTTTTTAAACAGGCTGCGCTCTCTAATAGATTCTATTCTATAAGACATTTGTCTTCTAAATATTGTCATTAGACGAACATTTTTTGTCACGTTTCAAATCATTTTAAAAATCGTCCGTAACAGTTGGCTATATTGTTAATAACATGAAACGTTCTTAAATCGTTTGCATAATTTGCATAGAACCATTTGCTCAGCGTTTTCTAGGTTTGTTTTTGTGGATGCACACGAATTGCCTCCTATCTGACCCTCGAATTGTCACCCGTGAATTTTTTTTTAAAAGGTTACTCGAATTGCCTCCCGATTTCTAAAATATCATTCATTCGAATTGTCTTCTATTTTAGGTAGTAACCTTCTTATATCGAAATTGATTTCTATTTTGATTTTTTTGAAAACTAAAAAATATTTTACATAGCTAAGTATTAGGTACACGACATTAGTACACATATGATTAGTAGACATTAGTACAAAAGAGCAAATTTGATACGTATTGTATCAAAATTACATCAAATTTATCAATTAAGTTATTAATAAAATTAATTTTACTTTTAGTAGTTGTCCTAACTTTTTGGTTTCCACTGTTGAAGATCTAATAAAAATTACCGTACCTAACTGCATTGATTTTAGTATTTAAAAATTTATAAATATGAGGGTGAGAGGATGAAAAATTAGAATTTAAATTTTTGTGGAATGATTCACAAGCGTTAGTAGACTTTTGTATACTTGATGTTATTGCACCTCACATTCTTGGTGAGAAAGTTGAATCTTCATCTATATAATTTTCAAACAAATAATAGGAAAATTGAGTTATTTTGACATTATCAGGTTTTAATTCACCAAAATCCATGGTGAAATTGCCAAAAGTTCCATCCACATGTATTTAGCGTACTTAGAAACTTAATATTATCGTCGCATGAAAACATTAACTAATCATTTAATCGGCCATTTACTATTAAAAAGTTCTCATCTATAAACATTTTAACCTTAATGGACGATAAAACTTTATAAACTTCATTCACATTTTGTGGCAATTTTGGATATATAGAATTCCTAATATTGTTCATGTTATTTTTAATGTTAATTTACTTCTGAAGTTGTTAATGTACTACTTACATTACTATTTTTTATCTCGTCGTGAAATAATTTTGCGAAATTATGTTGAACTAGTGATATTGAATACGATAGTCAACTAAGCTACTGATATCAGATATCGATAAGATTATTGCAATTGACAAATAATTAAACTGTCTGGGAAATACTATATGTATATATTACTATAAATAATAAAAATAATATTTTTGAACATTACGGAAATCAATATAATAATCGATAGTACACGTCAATTATCGATATATTAATTAATAATCTAGGTATGCAATGGGAGGCGATTCGAGTGGACGGTTTGGGTATACTCAAATCGCCTCCGAAAACACCCGGAGGCAATACGAGTGAAAAAAGGTCATCTACCTGAATTTTGGAGGCAAATCGAGAACTCCCGTTTTTGTTGGTGCAATAGGTTGGTTCGCTTTTGATGACTTTTTATTTTCTTCGTTTATTACATGGATCGACAGTTTGGATGGCGATCCATTACCTGATTACCTTATTATCTGATGCAGTATTATCTGTATCATCAATTTTTTGTAATTTAAATTTTTAAAACAAGGCACTGTTTCTAAGGTTATCGTCCTTGTTTCCATTTAAATGTGACGATTTTGTGGTCCTACTAACATAATTCTGAGATATTTCTGATTGATTATTTTTAAATACGTTTAAAGCCATTGTTTCTGCAATTGTGCTTAAAAAAAGTTTAGCACTGGATGCTTTACCGGATTCTCTATGACGCAGTTTGTTATTGACATTATTTCTAGTAACTTTTGCGGTATTATTAACTTACTTTTTGGAAAATATTGGATACTCAGTATTTTGGAATTTGACTTGTACTACAGTTTTTGAATATATTTTCGAGTTTTCGTTATTTTAATTTTTTTAACGAAAAAAAATTTTCGATTTTTCATTTGGTACCTAATCTATGCAATCGAATGCATACCTGCCGCACCCGGACGCAATCGAAAACCGGTAAAAACAGTAAAGTCAAAACGGGACGCAATCTGACGATGCCAGCTGTATCATCTTTGAACTTAAGCATACTTATTGATTTATTCCCTATAATAAACACGGTGATTTATCTGTTTATAGTATTGAACGACCACCCCCTCCGGTTTGATACGACATTTTTTTAATAGATTTTTAAGTTATCACTATAGTACAGATTTTCACCGCGATAAAAAAAAAAAAAACCCGAAGTTACATAATAACATCGAATAATCAAATTCAATATAATATTATGTAGGTGTAATATGCGACAAGGGGTTTTTTGAAAATTCGGCGTTTACTATAATACTATACGCGAACTCGTCTACTTGTCACGACGAGCATATTGATCACACCCGTATTATATTCTCTCGACAACGGTTATTATTATAATATCATACTTGGACGAAATCTAAATAACAATAATAATAATAATAATAATAGGTAATCATTTTTCCTTTTACGCACGTGTTCATGACACGCACAATAATTTATTATAATCGATTGTTTTAAATTATTATCACACACGTCTTTGATGTGTACGGTACAGATTATAACAATAATATTGTTATCACGGAATGTCAAGCCGGTAGCGCGTGCGGTTGTAACGGTTTAACGCGGGCCGTCATTTTTGGCGCGGATCCGTCGAGACCTTTCGGCCGTCATCACGTCCTCCGTCACACGCTGCATTATACGACGATGACGGTTTTCCAGATGTATTATATGTATATGAATACGTCGGGGGACGCGCGTTTATTATTTATTATTAAAAAAAGACGACCGGTCCCTGTCTATATATATACGTATATTCTTATATTCTATACATTCTATAATATATTCCGAAAATCATACTACGCTGACGGCGGCGAATAAAACCGCGCGTATCATAAACTAAAACCAACGCGTGTACCATCGACAACGCCCCGAAAAACTGTAATAATAATAACAATACGACTCGGGATGTTTTCTCGGCGAAGGTTTCGGAAAAAATCAGCTCGTATTGTACCGAAACGATAGTTTCGGTATCGACGGAAAATGTACATATAAATATTAATAATTTTATTACAATATTGTATACACATATATAGGGGGTTGCCGCGATGGAGACAGCCGACGAAAGTCAAAAGTTCAAACGCGAGTTTCCATGATATTATGTATAATACTAATAAAAGCAAAAAGACTCGAAAGCGCAATACGACGGGACCGAAAGTCGTGTGTTTTTGTTTTGTATTTGTATGCACACAGGGCGATTTTTTCTATCGCTGTACATTCATTACTTTGAAAACTATTGATTTTTTCCGAAAAGAAATCATTTTGAAATTTAATAATCAAACAGCTTGACAAATGTTACGATACCATTGTTTTTTGATTTAACTACATTTTCGGGGGTGAATCGACAACTTACTTTTGATTTTTCAATGGTCACTTATATACTAAAAAAATTCATAAATAGACGGATTATTATTTGTAATTTTTTCGTTGAAATATTTGATTTTTGTCAATCCGTTTACGAAATATGTACCACTTTTAAGTTTGGGCAAGGAGAGAGTAGTGGAGCATTATACATAACGGTAATATACAATTTTAAAGCCACCTGTTTCTTAAATTGTCAAGAATTTTTTTTAAAATTTAACACTTCGAAATAATAATGAGTGTTGAAAGATAAAAAAAATCACTCTGTATACATAATTTTACGGTGTAGAATTTTCGAAATTCAATATCGCGTATATTTTCTTTCCAAATAATACATCATTAACTCCGAACCATACGAACGCCGTCGTTCGTAGTCTCGCGTTTGCCTGTCGAGTTTTATAATATTTTTGCTTTCTCGACACCAAAAACGAATACATAATACGACTCGTCAATAATATCTGCACTATAATAGTAGTATAATAATACTACTGCCAATTCCGCAATAAAACTCGTATATTATTATGGGTACTAAATATTTTGTATTCGAATAGCGATTGGGCCAGGGGTGACGTTACAAAAGTATATTATTAACTATAGTATAGGTTTTTCCAAAATAAATTTACAAAACGTATTTTAAACGTACATAAATTTTATCGTCCAACACATTCTAAAATTTCAATTTTTTTTTTTCATGCATACAAATAATGCCAATAAATACCAGCATAAAGAAAAAAAAATTTTAATTTTGAATGGGAAAATGTTAATGAAATAAACGTGTATTTTATAACACTCCCAAGTAGCAGAACTTCGTCATTATATACAGTGGTATCCTCTTATTTTCTTTTATTGACATATTTTTTGTGCTATACTTCCGCGAGAAAAAGACGAAATTTGCAATGCCGGCAGTTAAAAGTTGAAACTTCGTAGAAGGATGCAATTACAAAATTTCATCGGTTTGTTAAATTCGAGAGAGGCTCTATATATGGGTGAATAAAGCTAGATAAATTTCCTCGTCTCGATAAAAACTGCGGTGATATTTACGAGTGAAATTATTGCTTCGGTCGGGTTTTTAAAACATCTGTAATTTCTGAGTTCGGGATCATTTAATTCGGAGGAACAAGTTAAAAGCGGGGAAAAGATAAATATATGTATAACGGACGCAATACGCAAAAAGTATGTAGTCCAATTATTATTTCCGGGGAAAATTCCGCTGAATAAATAAAAAACATTTTTGAAACACTCTCTCGATATAAGTATATAATATTATCGCGAATTAATATAATTCGCATAAAACATCGCGTACGGTATGAAAACAAATAATTTCCCGCAATAAAATACATTTCTCGCGTACCATAAGGAAAAAAAAAAAAAAATCAAAATTGTTTATTTTCATACTCGTTCGGAAATGCTTTTGTAATATATATATTTGGCCGGCCAGTATAGGTAGTGACGGTGTTCCCAGCGGGCAGATAATACTATGCTCGCGAGCTTATCCTCTTTTTAAACCCTTAGACGAAAAATATTATTTTATTATACCCGTTCGATTTATATACATTCGTATAAAAATGAAATAAAAAATATATATTTTTTATTTTACGACGATGATCCGTCGCGTATTTGTATACATTTTTTTTTTGTTACGAGTTTATTTTTGTACAGGTTTTTCAAACGTCTCTTGGGCGCTGGTATGCATAAACGGAAAGAGCAGTAAAGTACCTATACACACAAAATATTTCCCGAAGAAACAAAAATACCAAACTCAAATTGCATAATATATGAACTGCAGTGACACTCGCAATAGCTATAGCAGTCGACAACATAAGGTAGGTAGTAAACTTTTACTCGGTTATGATTTTGTTTTTTCGATATACGTTTCTTTTGTTATCCTCGAACTTTCAATTTTGTACGTAATAGTTTTGTATAATACATCAAAAGTTATAAAAAAAATATCAAGTTCCGGATTTTATCGATTGTAATTTACATAATACATGTTATATGAACATCGGCAGAGCAGCGTTTAAATATTATTATATTTTGTCCTTTTTTTATTTTTTAGGTTGATTTTTAAGAGTAAAAGCATTTTATTTTTACGGATGTTCGAGGCGGGCTGACGTTATATTATCATAGTTCACGACTGCGAATATAATATTGTACGAAACGTTTCTGATTTGTGCAGTTTTTTTTCCAAGAAATTCATAAATAATATTACATTGTTCACTGCAATATATATGTAAAATATATCCGAATAAAACAATTTAAACGCACTATATACCATTGCTCTGGTAGTCAAGTATATCTATATGACGTATACAGGGCCAATAGCAATTGTCAGATTGATCCGAAGGATCTGTGGAATGATAACATTCCGAAAACAAAACTGCCAACCGTTGCCAACGAAATTAACTATAATATCACAGTGTATAGTTGTTAAAATATTATTCTTTATAAGATAACAACATGAGCACTTAAATTAGTATTCAGCTTAAAATGACTATAGACATCGTTGGCTGTTGGGTGTAAATAAATTATAAATAACGGAGTTCGAAAAAGGGGTTTCATGAATATTAATGTGGACTAAAATAAATTAATCTATATTTGTTTAAAATTCAGTTGTAATTTTGGATACTACCTATTTATTACATTAATAAAAAAAAAAATAGATGTTGTATACATTTATGCTGCAGCATAACGTATGCTTGACGCTACTGTTTTTCGTGTTCAGTTCTTACTTATTTCGGACAACTACCCCCGATGTATACGCCGTATATATAACTAGTGACGTATCCAGAAATTCGACTTGGGAGGGGAGAATTTTTTTATTTCTGTTAAGTCGTTGACGAGATATTCTACTTTTAATTTTAGGTCGGAGAAGAGTAATGGTGCACTAATAACACGTCGCGCGCCGTACCGCCACACAAATTACATTCCAGTATACTCTCCTCTAACCCAAACTTAAAAGTGGAATATCTCGGATCAATATAAATCAATAATTTTAGGTTGCCATTTGAAAATCAAAAGTAGGTAGTGGTTTTACCCCCAAAAATAACATTAATATAAAATTGTAGAGCAGCTTGTTTCTTAAATGTTTTAGTAAACAAATTCCGGAAAAAGTACTTTTCGAGATAAACGGGGTATCCGCTTAAATGAATCACTTGGTATAGGTAGTATAATAATGGCCTCCTATAATTACTATAAGTACTGTAATTATAATAATTATAATATTCGGCGTATTTATACTTGTTCAGTTATGAGCGATTGAAATTCAAAATACACACTGTCCGATAATAATAATCTTTTATTTGAAAAAGAAAATAATCGCAGAACCATTCAGTAAAAATGTATATATTTTTTTCTTTCTATTAAGTATATGCAATACAATGGTGCATTAAATGTGTCCATTATTAATGTTTATAAGATCGGCGAAAACTCCACTCCATTATTGTATTGTATACATCAGAAAAAAAAGTCGGAAAATGGTCGGAATTTCGGACGTCTTGTACAATGCACTCGTTACATAATGTTTCGCAAAGCATTTTCGAAAAAAAAAAAAAAACACAACCGTTGTTTTCGGTTAAGTATTGTGATGTTTATTGTGATTTATGACGATGAAAATGTTTGAAAATTACTGTAATACGTGACAAATGGCAAAAAATGTTTAAGTCTAATTCAAAATATTTTCCTTAAAAATATTGTTATTTTTTTTTTGCAATGGTAATTTTGTCATTTTTCTTCGAAATTAAATCCTTCACACTAAAAACGAGTTTAATTTTGAAATATTTTATACTGTTTAGAAGTAGACAACATATTGTAAGTGACAACGTTGTAAGTGTATATATGTATTATTATATGTTTTCATATAATAATCGGTCCATTTAGATTTAATAAATTAGCGATTTTATAGGTTTATAATATTTGTGTTTAACAATTTCGCTAAAAAAAAACAAAAACTGATTTTATGATTTCTAAATTTTCCAAAATTAATTTTGATATTATCAAAAATTAAATAATGACAATAAAATTCCGTGCGTCTTCAAAATATCTCATATTCAAAATGTCTTGCTATAAAAAATAATCCCCTTAGAAATATCCCGTACATAATATATAATACCTTCATTCAAAATATGAAATATTAATTTCCGTGTATAAAATTATTATTATTATTATGTCACATTAATTCCCTTCTAAACAGTATATTGAACTTATAAACGTACGCTTAATATTATATAATAATGTATAGGTACATAATATAATGTTTTAATATATATTGTGTACGTATCGATAGAAATTGTTAATTTAATAATGTTTATTTAATAATGTTTCGGTGTATTAAATATTCTGCAATATTATAATATAATAAATCGATGGAAGATGTTATAGGAAAAAATAAAAGTAAACTACGATGCATATCTTTTCAATGTAAAGATTAACATTTACTATATATAGGCTGTGCGTAAGAGGTATCGTGTTGGTTGTATTCCTGAAAGCATATTTTATAATCGCCTGCAAAAATCCAATAATTTTTATATTCTATTATAATATATAATTTATGGCGTCATTTCGAAACGACCCTGTACCTATTTACAATACGGATACAGTGTAATTTAGTTTGTATTCTGCATGCAACGATAAATCGATGCGAACGAAAAAAACATTCTGAGCGGATTAGTAGGTACTAATAGTATTTTCCATGTTTTTTGCCCCGTAGTCCAGGGAATCAAGAAATTGACAATCGAAAAAGGAAAACCACATTCCAAAAACCTTTTACCTTTTACATTTAAATCAAACTAACCATTCAAAAACGTGATGCCGAGCAGAACTTTCTGAGCGTTTTCACTTCTCCCATCGAAAAGTGTTATCAGATTTCATCATCCCATCTTCAGAAAACATCAAATCCGGTCGTCAAAATACTCACGCAGGAAATACTGAGTGTAATAAAGCGACTATAGTTCCACCAAAACACCAACAAAATCAGAAACACGATTTAAAAACCCATATAGAAAGTCCAAGAGTAATTGTTATTATACTAGTGTTTGGTTGAAGTATAGATTTTAAAAATTACGGTTTTACCTGACCTGGTACTATTTTTTTTTTTTTGGGAGGAGGGTATTACGAATAACATAATTATCCTTCTTAAGTGAAAAAAATTCGGAATATATTTTAGATTTTGAGCGTAGTGAAGATTAGTTTTACTAAGATGTCTGTTCTTAGAAAACACATTTTCGGTTAGTAAAAGTATTTATCAAATTGTTTAATCTTAAAATATGCAAATTTTTTTTTTAGTGGTACCTGCGCTTTATTTGTCTACAAAATGCATCATAATATGAAAATGTAATTGACTAGTCGTTTTTATCGTCAATATTCTGTATGGTATTGCGACGTTTAAAATAATGCATATGATTACAGACCTTATAAATATTATTATTATTCACCGAATATAATAATTATTCAATTATTTGAATATTTGAAATAATAAATTGGCATTAGTAATTTCCAAAACGCCTACTTTGAGTTGACTTTTCAATGAATGCTTTCAATGCGAAGAAGTTATACTGGCTCCGTCAAAATATACTATATTTATTATCAGCAGTATATATTTATACCGTGGGAATATTGAGCCAAAATAACAAATATTCAAATAAAAAAATAATGTATACTATATACATATTATAAATACTAAATCTGACCTAAAAAATATATGTATTCGTTTTTTTTTATAATTTTTTTTTTTCGTTAGCCTATAAATATTTCTTGTAATTTTTCGTAAACATTTTCGTTTTTTTTTTTTTGTGAGGGGGAATTTGTACAAATCGTAATATTTGCGTTTATTATTATTTATATTTTATTTGTACAAGTACATTAGACGGACATCGAATACTGCAGGGCGTTCCTACAACTCGAATGGGTTAATCGTAATTTAACTAAACCCCTCCACCGTCTCTACCCGTGGTGCAAATTAATGCGTTAATGCATATACATTGTATAAATCAATATCATGAAATCGATGTGTCTATATCACTAAACAAACATTAAGGAAATTTATAGTCGTTTATTTAAATATAGGATTCCTCGACCAAAGACCGTATTATAATTTATATGTTCTGCAGTGCTATAATAATACTCAGCCGGAAGTAAATACCCGCTGTGAAATCGAGTAAAATTATGTTATACTGGTAATCGAACATTGAATATTATGAATATTACAAGAGAAAACATAATATGCTCGGCGGCGGCATTGTACAGTCTAAATGGAGTTCGTGCCTCTTCGGGTTTTTCTTTTTCAAATGTTGAAAAATGAATAGCATATAATATTTCGCAGTCACCGATACAAAATGATGTACAGAACCTCAGAATTTTTTTTTTTTTCTTGAACAATCGCACATAACTCCAAAATTTCATCAATTCTCAGGATATGTGAGATAATTGAATTTTATACTATTTATTACATTATATTAGTATATTGCAACAAAACGATATTTTAGATTTGGAGAGTAACGAGGGATTTTTTGGTTTTACTATGATGTATTTTTTTTGTGTCTGAGTTTCTACCAGAAATCTTTTTCTGATGTATTAAGTGTAGTACATTTTCTAAAAGGAAATTGTATCTAGTTAGTTAGGAGGTTATTTTTTGATTTTCTCTGCGGAATTTACAAAAAATTATGAAAAACCAATAAAAACTGACAAATTTACGGCGTTATAATTTCATTATTTTAAATTTTTACGTTTTATGTTTTTTTATATTTTACTTGAAATATTGTTCTTATGGAAAAACAACAAGAGATCTTTTTCGTTAAATTTTTAATCTAGTTGATGAGTGGGAAAGTCATTTTTCCCTGTATTGTTTTTAATATTGAGCAAAATTGAAAAAAAAAAGAAAATTATTATTTTATTATTTTCAATTTTGTTTTTTGTATTAATTAAAATATTCATAGAAACTTGAAATTTTGATTGACAAATTATCTTTGATTTTTCTAGACATGTAAACATTTTTAAAACATGAGTCATTTTTGAGTTATTTATAGACATTACAATTTTGAAATTTTTACGTAATTATTATTTGCTAAGTATGTTGTGAACTAAACTGTTAGATTAAACAGAGTTTTAACTACAAATTTTGAGGAACATCGCGATCGTAAATAATACGGCCTTTCTAAACATTGAAATTCGCTCCTAATCGTTTTTCATTAGCAATGGTTAATCGTAGTTTACAGATATAAATTAAA